GCAAACCAGCTATATTTATTAAGAATTCAGTGTGCATGGCTGTTGATATATTACACATGTAGGGCAGAATGCCTTGAAACTGTGCAGAACACAATTAGTACAAAGCTTTTATATTTTCCCTCACTGGCTAACAACTTTCTCATCAGTCCCCTTCCTTCCCAAGGCTGGGAATTGTCCTCCGTCTACTCATACCTTATCTAAGGATGGCCCTTTCAAGATGGAGCTCAAACACTCATCTTTGGCCAGGTTCCCTCTTGTTCTTTCTTACCTAGGCACAGTTCCCTTACAGCTACACACACACATATTTTCTCTTTAACCCTGTATTTGTAAGAACAAAGGAGGCACCATGCTCTCCAACAAGACCTATAATCTAACTGTCAGAAATAATTTCAATGTCCCCAACCTGGCATGCATATGTACACAATATTCAACTATAAGCCATGGGTTTGGTTTCACCAAAGAGTGGAAAAAGAGATCGAGTATTGATGAATAGTCCTCAATTGTAGTAACACTGTACATATGAAAAATACTTAAGCAGGAGGCCGTGGGTTTACGAAAATCAAGTGGCTGTTCCAGGACTGGAGTTAAACAGCTTCTAGCCTTTCAAGACTGGAGTTTGGTATTGTGAGCTTCAGAGAAAGGTCAGTGAGAATTTGACACCAGAGTGGAAAGAAAGAAAACGACAGCCAACACAATGAGTGATATGTGTACACACTGACTTTTTAGCCCCTTAACTTTAAACACCCCCTTTTCCAACTTCCCGAATAAAGGTTTTCCTTCCACAGACTCAATAGCATTGTCAAATCTGGCCTTTCAGAAGAAATGGCTGCTAATGGGTCAATGGGGCCATTTATCACTTCTTCTCCCTCTGCTCACACCAGAAATGAAAGCCAAACAGCCCAGTAAGACTGTTTTCACAGTTTCTAAAAGACATTTTTCATGCACTATGTTAAACATGAGTGGATTGAGCTATAGGGTTTAGAGTTTATACAGTTTTGCAAGGTGCAAGTTTTATAGGAAAGCACTAGTTGATTTCTGAAGTCACTGAAGCCATCAAACCTCATATTCCCTAGTCCTTGCCATTTTTCAGTGCTGGTTTCTTATTTTTTTGGATTTCCTCTGCCAGCTGTAGAGGCTTGCTCTGAATCAGCCTGATCACTGCTTTTTTCTTGTCCCTCCTCACCTGCTTCTTCATCTAGGTCAGGGGTCGGCAACCTTTAACACTCAAAGAGCCATTTGGACCCATTTCCCACACAAAAGAAAACACTGGGAGCCGCAAAAACCCTTTTGACATCTAAAATGAAGATAACACTGCATATATTGTTTTTTACCTTTATGCTATGTATAAAAAAACTAGTGTGTTGCATTTATGAAATCAATGAACTGCTACAGAGAAAACAATTTTTTATTTCTGCATGCAACAAAAACATTTTGAACTCCTAAAAGAACCAAGGAAGTAGAGCTATATCTTCATTAAGATTTAGCTGCAGCTCTTGTTCATTCACTAAAAACTGTTATTTTTAATTTTACATTAAAAACTAGTAGGACTCCTTTCATGTATTTTGAATAGGAGAACAGCTTTCTGCAGAGTCAAGGTCAGTGCTAAAGGGTTGCATGCATTAAACAGCAAACCCCATAAATTCATCAGCAGTAAAAGCAAATGAATCTTCCCACGTACCATTAAACGTTCAGTTTTCTTCAGAAACTTTTCTTCAATTTATCCATGGTTGGCCTACGGGGGTGGGGGGGAAGCTCAGTAAATTGGTGTGGGTCCCAGATTGGCTGTGCAAGAGATTTAGGTGTGTTTAGTGACTGATTAGCAGATAAACAGTCAAGTGCTGTGAATTGTGACAGGTCCCAAGGGCAGCTTTTAACATTCAGATGAAGGAGATTACATTGAGACAAAGAGAATCTTTTCAGCAGGGTTTGAGTAACATGAGAGCCTGCAGGAAGCTTGTTCCATTCTTTCCCTGCACAATAGCAGAGGAACGTAGCAATTTACTTAACCAGCCTTGTGGCTTGTGTTTTGATGGAGCCGGCTTGTGTTTTGATGGAGCCGCAGCAGATGGATTCAAGGGCCATGTGCGGCTCCGGAGCCGCGGGTTGCCGACCCCTGATCTAGGTTCAGGGAGGTTAGCATTTTCTTTGCCTTTTTAAAATGGGTGATAGCAATTTAGAACAGTTTTACCTTTAATCACCACTGACTTGAAGGGGGATCCCCAGCAGTACTGGATATCAGCACTGTACAGCTTTTCAAGTGTTTTCCCCAGTCATGCCTTTTTTGGCAGGGTTGGATTGCTCAGATCTTGAAAAAATCTATTTTGTTCTCTCTCAACACAAGTCAGGGTTGGGACATGCGTGAAACATGAACATTATATTTTCTTTTACTAGGAAATAATGCCATTTAATCATGAAATCCCCACCTGGGTTTTGGAGCGAGTACCTGATGAATGGTATCAATTGGGTTCCAGTTTAAGCTCAGTAGAAGTTTCATTAGCTAAATAGATGAAGAAGAGGAGAAGATCTTGCGTATCCTGCTCGCCCTCAAGATTATTCTGACAATTTCAGTCCTCCTGTCCAGTTATGCAATTCGGGATCTCTAATGTCATCTTTCTCAGGGCAGAAATGTCCATCTTCTGCATGAGGTCCAGATCAAAGGCTTCACTGGCAGCTCTAGTTGTTTCTCTACCTCTGCAGTGTCTCTGATGTCAGCTTTTAACAGATTGACGGCCAGACATTGTTCATTTAATTCCTTTTTTAAATTGATGCAGTAGTTCAAGCAGAGGTTCTACATCTTCTTTGGAAGTATGGGTGAATTTGCATGTTATTGCAGGCTCAACCGCAAGGCTGAGATTTATTGGTATAATACTAGGGAAGACAAGTAGACCATAAGCAGTTCTACCTTATCTTGATTTAGCAACTGCTTTTCCTTGCCACTTTGGTGTAGTTATGGTCCATATTTAGTAGTATGAGGAGGAACAAATGATCTAAGCAGCCACCTTGGATGATGACAACACCCTGTCCATGTTTCTGACATTTTTGTCTAAGTCCATGGATTTTTATCCAGGGAAAGCTCTACCATTTGATTCAAGTTTGGGGTAGTAAGAAGTGTAAATCATGCTTCAAATCCCTCCTCTGGCTTTGTGGATAATACCTTGTTACTCCACCTCTTATTCAGCATTCTATGACTGTGTATTCCAAATTCTCATGCATGTTTTAAGTCATCATTCCTCCTATCTCTGATACAAAGGCTACAAAAGTTGCCAGTTATTATTACATTGCATTTATATCCTGCCTTCTATCCTCTTGCAAGGAGCCCGAGCCAATTACATTGCGCCATTTAATCCTCACAACTACCTTGTAAGGTGCATTACATTGAGAGTCTGATGAAAGGGACCCAAAGTCAGGCAGTGGCTTCATGGCCGAGTGGGGACTAGAACTCACTTCTGGGTCCTCCTTCCACACCACACACCATGTGTAGCCGAAAGAGCATGACAAGCATACCAGAAGGCTCGGGAGAACCCTGAGGTCTGCAGAAAAATAAAAGCAGCTTTAGGAGGAAAAAGCCTCTAGAATGCAGTCCCCAAAATTGTTAATTATGGACTAAGAATGTTCAGTGGCTCTAGGGAATGCTGACTTTTGCAGGTGGAGGGAGAATACATTAAAATTTTGTATTATTATGTTTGTATCTCAGTGTATTGTTTGTATTTTTGTATTTAGTGGTAATTTATTATGTTCTATTGTATTTCAATGTATTTTATTGTGTTGTAAGCCGCCCCGAGGCTTCGGCAAGGGGCGGCATAGAAATGTTATAATAATAATAATAATAATAATAATAATAATAATAATAATAATAAGGGTAAGGATTAAGTGGCTGGAAGCACCACGCTCCACGCTACAACATTTTGTTGCGAGACCCTAGATGCGGGTTCATTGTCCTTGGATGTCTTTGTGTGGCCTCATAGCTTGGCCTGTGTGTGACTCTCTCTTCCTCTTTCCATTTTAATTCCAAAGGAAATCTGTAACAATGGGAAATGCCAGGTGCAGTGTTTGGCAGGCCGCTTGGCACAGAGGCCAACTTGTCTTATTCCTTTCTTTTTCTCACACAGCCAGGGTGAGGAAAACCGTTTTGTGACCCAAGAGCCTGCAGGCTGCATGTTAAACAGCAGCTGGACGCATGCTTCTTAAAAAGTAGCAGCACTCCTCGTTAGGCTGCCTGCAATCCAACGGTGCCAGTTCGTGAAGGGACAAACAGCTTCGCATGGAGAAAGTGGGATCGCCCTTTTGCTCTGGCAGAGCCCGATGCCTTTTAACAGCTGCATGCCATGCGGCAAGTTCAACCGGTGATGCTTTGCCTTCCACACTTTTCCATGCAGTGGAAACTCCACCGTTGCATGTGCAGCAACTGTTAAAGCGCAAGACAAAAAAGCTGATTAAGGTCGCTTTGGGGAAGAATAACCGTCTAAAGAAGTGAGCTAAAAATACAGTGAATAAATAAATGCGGTCGGGAAGAAAAGTCTAAACCGGGAAGCCTAAGGACAGTTTTTTAAGAAACTTCTCAGCCTCGGAAAAGCACCCTAGAAACCCTCGTGAAGCAAACTGTAAACGCCGATATCCATGCCTGTTGTGAAGCTGCACCATACGGTATTGGATTAATTAACACGGATCCCCGTTTGAAGACGCTGGCACAGGAGAAAAGAAAGCAAGGAAATGAGCCGGCCAGGATATACGGCTTAAAAAAAAAAAAAAAAGCAGAGTGCACTTCTGAGAAGTTTCGGTTCAGTTTGCTGCGCCCGACCGCTCCACGCCCGCCCGACCGCTCTTCCGCAGCGCTTTGGCGCCAGTAGGCCGGGCCGCCCTGATTGGCCGTTTTGAAAGCAGCGGCGCCGCGCCATTGGTGCGTGCGGCACGGTTTAGCGCGGTTGATTTGAATCCGACGCCGTTCGGCCTCTCACCGCAGGTGCTGGGAGCGGCGGCTGCTCGCTGCTCCTTCCCAAGCTGGGCCCGTGGCTTGCCGGGGAGGCGAAAGGAGCGGCCGGAGCGTGCGCTTGGCCCAGGCGGAGGCTGCGTGGTGGGTAAGGGGGGCAGCAGGCGGGCGTGCGTGCACGCGTGGAGGTATGCACGCGTGCATGGTGTAGTCGCGTGGAGGCTTGGGAGGAAGGGCAGCTGTGGTTGTGGCTGGGGGAACGGGGGGGGGGAGAAGCCTTTGAACAGCGGGTGGGGGGGGATTCGTGGGGTGGTTTTTTCGGGGGTTTAAACGCCATTTTGGAGAAGAGGTAATGTAGCCGCCTTGAGACTTGGGGAATAGGCGGCGTATACATGCAAAAAATACAATCTCTAATTGTTTATAAGCAGCAGGACGTGTTTGATGGGGGATCAGTTGCGACCTTATATTTTATTTATAATCTATGTATTGCGGCAATATATGCTTATATTGCTGTTATTTGCCACTTCCTTTTTTTCATGGGGGAAGAGTTTAGTTTTCCCTCGTAAGGATGTAGTGCTATGCTTCTACTTTTGAGCAATCCACGACAGGGCTGTGTTGCTAAGCACACAGGATTGGGAAGAGAAAGAGAAAATGATTGAAATCTTACCCTCCTCTGAGTTTAGAGATTCAAAATTGGCCATGAGAGAGAAACAGGATGTCTTTCTTTTTTAAAATCTCAGGTCTCTGTATATGCTTGATTCCCAAGATCTGTTCTCTTTGAGTGTCTGACTGTACACGTGGTTCTTGGGCCTAAAAATGTGGCAACCCCCAGGAACCAATAGGACAACATCTGCAGTACTGAATCCTTGCCATCAGATGCTTGGCCTACTTGCTTTAGTTTGGCAGAAACTTCTAGCAGGAAAGCCCTGAAAATGGATGGCATCTGGAATTTATTTAAGCAGCTGTCAATCTTACTGTGGGCAGGGAAAAGAAGTGAATACAATAATTTACGAAGTTTTATTGTGTGTTTTCCCATTCCAAACCTGAGCACAACTCAGTGGCATGGCTAAGGTATACGAGTTTTGCAGCAATTAAGCACTGCATGCCTAATCATAAACCTTCTCTTTGAGCATGCTTTATGCTCTTCATAGATGACAGGGTGGATATGGAGAGCCAGTGTGGTGGTTCTAATGCTGGACAGGGGACCGGGGACCTCGGAGAACTGGGTTCTAGTCCTCACTTGGCAGCTGCTCTCAGTCCAACCTACTTCACAGGGCTGTTGTTATGAGGAAAGACTAGACTATATAAGCTACTTTGGATTTCTCTCAGGAGGCAGACAGACAGAATGTAAATGCGAGATGGCTAGATTGGTGGGAATGAAAATATTTGATAATGGAGGTTCCATAAATTGTCCCCTATATGTTCAGTGTACCTAAATGGAGTAAAGAAAATCTCAGTACTTTACTTGCAACTCCACATCTGATAGACAAGTCATCCTTGATTTTTTTTTTTTTTTTGCTACAGTGCCAGAGTGTTTAGACAGCCAACTGTCATCTGTAAGATAATTGTTGTTATTTCATTTCTGCACTGCCTCATAGCCCTGTCTGAGCTTCAGCACTTCGGTAGAATTAATGGTTTGTGTGGTTTTGAACTTGACTGCCCTGTTTCTTTTTGGTGTTAACCAAGAAATAAAGCCCTCCTATTGTTTCCCCTAACTAAAGGAAAAATAACTTATTCACCTTAGTACAAGCATGAATATGCAGTGACGATGCCTTTTACTTGCTTTTTCTTTACGAATTTTAGCCTTTTTCAACCCAATTTGAACTGTCATAGGTGAAGTTAACTGAAATTTAAAAGGACAAAAAGATCTCTTGTTACCTTTTTAACTTCAAGGAAGTACTGGAACAAAATACTTTTGCTCTCAACTTAATTATAGCTGGCTGAATTGCAGTTTGTTCAGGAAATAAAGACATACATACCAGTCGAAAACATTCCCAAGTGATTTTTAGAAAGCTAATGGAGGAGTGCCTCTTATTTCTGTATGCACCTGTCAGTACAAAAGCCACTCTCCTTATTCTGTTTCAGGTCTAATATCAAGGAATAATGGACGACTACACAAAAATAGAAAAGATTGGTGAAGGTAGGTAATCTATGATCTGTTACATGGTCGAGTTCTGACTTGTATCTCCAGCCTAAATTTACATTCTTGGAAAAACGTGCCACAGATGCAGATGGAGCATAGAGTCAAATTATGAAAGATGTGCCCCCCTTCAGCAAATGACAGGGGAGGTACAACCTCTGAAATCTGTGTTTTTCTCCTCCAGTGCTAATAGCAGCTTTGGAGCTGGGTCCTTTTCTTGTATCAGGACCACAGTGAAGGGGCATGGCGATAGAGCCTCCATTCCGAAACCTTTGAGACTGTACTTTCTAAAGCACCGGTGTTGGGACTTCCAATCAGTAACACAGTTGTCTGGTTCAAACGTAATGATCCCCGTCTGATTAAACAATGTTTTAACAGATCAGGAATGAACAGTGGTTTGAGGATAGCCTGCAATCCAGGATAGCAACCCAAGATAGGTCTGACTTACAGGGACCCTTAAACCACACATAGGAAACTACTTTAAAAAACCGGGAAAGTTCTTTGAAAGAGGTGGGGCATGGAAGAAGGTGTAGGAATGTGGCTTCTTCTCAATGTGATAAACACCTTGATTGGATGGTTAGTACATCTAATCCAGGCTGAGAGCACTTGAATTATGTGAGCAGAGCTTGTAAAGGAACGCGATCGTGATGGTTTATTAAATATATGCATCAATTTCCACCATGGAAATCAAACTTGAAGTGATTACAGAGAAGAACACCCCCACCAATACAGATCATAATTAGCACAACACAACCTAAAATTTTGTTTTGATTATGAAAAGTATTCATCTACAATGCACAATTTCTTACCCACCTGTGACCCAGAGTGCACAGCACAAAAGTTTCCTGCAACAGTTGGGTCATGCCTAGCATTCAAACTCCTGGGAAAACAAGGATGGCTTTCCTGGCACCAAAAAGATTGCAATGGTGAGCTCTGGGGCAGGCAGAGAAGGGCTCCTGAAGCTGGCCTCAAAGCCTAGGCAAGATTGTGCAGCGAGAGGCAGTCCTTGGGTTATTGGAGTCCCAAGCAATGTAGGACTTTACATGTTAATGGCAGCACTTTGAATTTGTCCCGTAAACTAATTGTCAAGCAGTGCCATTGAGCCAGGACTGGGCACGTGTGTTCGCATTGTCTAGCCCCAGCCAACAACCGCACCCCCCAATTCTGCACTCTTCTGAGCTGTCTTCAAGTGGAAGTAAGAAAGATGCCTAACTGGAACAAAGCGCACATTGCTGGCAGAGAAGTTGTGAATCTGGAAGGGATTAAATACCCCCTTCTATCTGCCCTGGTACTGAGAAGCCTTCATACCATGTTGAACAGATGTGTCCAAAGATTGGTCTTTCCTCCTGCAAAGATATAACTGAGTAGCTTCACAGTATCATGACCTTAAATCTTGACAGCAGCAATATTTGCCATGATTTTAGCACCTGCACATGAGGAAGGTAGAACAGTTTTTACCCTTCTCCCTGACATCTAGTTTCCTATGTGGAGGGAACGTTTATGTGGTAGAACTTTTCAGATTACTGGTGAGAGTTCATAGGACTGAAGTGGTGCCTCGGGAGCGCTGGGTCTCAGTCCCCTGACCTCATCTTCCGTTGTAGTTCCTTATCAGTGAGGCAAGAGGTGGAGGCTTTTGGGGCGGCTGGGGGATGTTGATCCTCATGGCTGGTGACTTTGGCAGAGGGCATTTGCAACGGCGCTTCTGAACGCCGTATGAGCTAGTTCAAAGGTGCTTTAAGGAATGGCTTGCTGCGTGTGAATATTGGAAGCATGGCGAAACATGCCGTGTTTGGCCAGCGAATCGCCACGGAGAGCCAGTGCTTTGTCCTGAGGTTTCTACGTGTCAGCATTGCTTGTTCGGCGTGAAGCCGGTTACGGCTGGTGAAACGACAGCTTTTCGGCCGGTGGGCATCGGCAGCAAGAGCAGCGGCGCCCTCCAGACACTTTCCGCTGTCCTGTTCACCCAGCAGGGCTGCGGTGCTGGCCGGTTGGCTCTCCCTGCCAGCGGGTGCTCCACCAGCATCCCTCTGCTCTGCCCCCTCGCCGTGTCACTGCTCCACCCGCTTGCCGCCCCGCCAGCCGCATGCACACCTCGTCGGGAAGGCGCCTCCCGAGGCTGGCAGGGCAGCTGTGGAGGAGCAGTAGCACGGGGGCAACGGAGCCGCCGTGCCTCTGGGCGTGAGCACCAGGCGGGAGGGGAGCAAGCGCCTCCCGCCGCAGCGAGCACAGGGACGGCTGCACGGTGCTCCTGCTTGGGCACCGCCTCGTGTGGAGCAGCCCATGAGCAGCACGTGGGACCTCTCCGCCCGGGCGAGTCTCCCAGGGAGTGTGCCCGGCTGCCCTCTGTGCTCCAGGCTGCCGGGGGGAGGCAGTGCCGGAACGCGCGCAGGGGGGAGCCTTGGCTACGTTTGCTGTGGGGGGGTGCTTGTGCGGGGGAACGCGGTGCAGTGGGCGCAGCTGCCACGCTGCTGTAATGAGGAGACAGAGGCTCTGCCTGGGGAAAGCTCCAGCTGTCTCGGTCCTAGGGGACTCTAGGGGAGTATGGAGGTGCAAGAGGAGGCAGAGGTGGTGGGCAGGAGCAGTGCATGCTGGGATTGATTCCCAGCTGCCTGGGCTGATGGGATACCGTTTGGAGGGAGGGTGGAGGCGCATACATGATGACCTGGTTCAGGGAACACAGCCGCTCAGCCTCGGGGCACCGTGACACATGCTGTCCACCATTATGAATATGCAAGCTGCAGCTGGGTCGGTTGGAGGGATGCTGTGACTTCTGCTTCACTCAGACCCATGCAGCAGGGGTTATTTGAGGGTTAAACAATCCTTGCAGAGCCCACAGTCAGTTCTAGGTTTCTGTGTGGGTTGCTTAACCCCCAAATATCCTCTGCCTCCCAGGTTCAGATGGCAGAACAAGTCATGGAAAACTTTCACATGCGTAATGGTAGCTGGCCCCTCTGGCAGCTGTCTGCAGGTAACTTAACCCATGATGGGCTGTTTTGTACGAACTGACTGTTAGAGCTGCTCTGTGAGATTTGAAATGTGCTCAGGAGTGTTTTTGGCTGTGTATGTACGTGCTCCTGTTCACCATGGATCCGTTTTGCTAATCCCTTAAATAGCCAAGTCGTGTGATTCCTTTTTTTCCTTCCAGGTTTTGCTAAGCAAAATCATCCAATGAGTTCCTTTTCCTGGATTTTGCAACCGTATTACTAACACATTCTTAAATAATTGAATCATGCTTTGTGCACTTGAATTGTTCTGCATTAAAATTACTTTTTCCCCCCACCAGGAACTTACGGTGTTGTATACAAAGGCAAACACAAAGCTACGGGCCAGGTGGTTGCCATGAAGAAAATTAGATTAGAGAGCGATGAAGAAGGTGTTCCGAGCACTGCAGTCAGAGAGATTTCCTTATTAAAAGAGCTACGCCATCCCAATATAGTCTGGTATGTACATCATGGAGAGTTTTGATTGAAAATGAATTTCCCTGCCTCCTTTGCATCCAATGGCTATGCAAAATTCTAGCTAAAGGTTCAAAATCCTTTGCACGGATTTGCACCTCACACTACTTCAAGATCATTCTGGGTTACTGCAAACATTGCTTCCATTTATAGTCATGTTAGTATCCCAGTATATACAGACAAAAGCGGTGCTCATGTAGTGACAACACTCCCACTGTTGCTTATTTTTCTTCCTAGCAGATGTAATATTTACAATGATGTGAAGTACTGATAACACAACTGGTATGAAAATCTTAATAGACATTAAATTCAATATATCTGATTTTAGGCATGCCGAAGTCAGTATTTTTCAGCAGAACACTTAAACATATGCTTGAATATCTTAAGCTCAGATTTGGCTGTTTTGTTTTGTGGTTTTGTCTGCTTGGTTTTGTAGTATCATACCCACTATTTCATCTTGGTTAATTCAGCCTAATTTTAATAAATGACTAAAACTTTCTTGGAAGTCTCCGTGCTTCTTCAGAGTTTCTTCAGGCAAAACCTCTATTAAACTGCCTTAATTCCTGATGCTGGTACAGTAGAGAAGACTGAAAATAGAAGCAAGTTCAGGAAATGATATGGTGGGAAACCGTTGCACTGTAATACTAGCAAGAAGAGGGGCTTTTTAAAAAGCCCATCTTGTCTGCGACCTTCCAAAAACAACCTCTTGGGTCGGATTCTCGCATAATGATAGAGTGCTATTCTTTAGGCTTGACCTGCCTAAACACTTCATTGTGCTGCATTTGATGCACGTCTGCCTTAAGAAGAGCCAAGGCAGTTGTGAAGAGCACCGTAACCCACGCTGTTTTCTGAATTCACTGTTGCTGGACCTTGAAGAAATCCAGGACTCTCAGATGTGTCACTAGGAGATTCGGCCAGTGCTTGTTTTAATGGTTGCAACACAAGCAATTCTTAAAGCAGCTATAGAATACGAGTACCTGCTGCTTGGCCACTGGAATTGTATAACTGAGAGTGCAAACCTGATTGGCTTTTGGTAGACAAAGGGCTCCAGTATCCTAACCCATAGCATGCAGAGTAGGAAGCATGGCAGAAGCACCGCTACCTCCCTTTCCTGCTTTTAACATTTTTTAGCTTAGGTGGGCCTCCTAGCCTACAAAGCCAACCTGCCTCTTAGAAGGGAGACTTATGGGCACGGACACTCACAGTCTCCCTTTCCTGCTCAGTGTCCCTCAAGACTTTCTGCTGCAGCTCAGAAGTGAAGCCAGCACAGTTCTCTGCAGCGGCTGCAGAGTATGAGTGATCCATGCTCGGATTTTCTGTCCTGAGGTCCTAGCTGTGCCCTTGGCCTCAGGGAGGAAAATAATGGTCCTGGGAAGCCCTTTCAAAAACAGATGGGTTACTCTGCTCATCGAGTTGGAAAAGGTGTGGAGTGATTGCCTTGTAAAAGCAAGGTAATGGCAAGGCCTTCTTGGGTAATCGGTGAATGTCAGTCTTGACTATTGCACATAAAGGTATGAAGTCTCAGCATTGAAATCGTGGCAATCAGGCACATGGCCACAAGGGAACTCTCTGGCACTTAAGTTTCCAGTGTTCTGAGGTGGCACTTGTGTTTGCACTTCCTTAAGAGTGAACTCCTTTGAACACACTGGGATTAACTTTGGGGTGGATATGATGTAAATCCTGCATTTCATGAATGAGTATGCATGCTAACTTGTAGCTATAACGAAATTCCTGTTTTATTCAGTCAAGCTGGTGCTGCTACACACCCAAGCTTCTGGCTACAGGGCACACAAGCCTCTTCTCTCTACATTGTTTCTAGCTGCTTAAGGTAGACTCTTGTGGAAATTTAGGCAGAAGAAAGACCTACAACTCCTAGCAGGCTCTTCTTTCTATCTAAACTTGCATGGGATCCTACTTTGAAGACTGAGCTGCCTTCATTAAATCTCTCCCTCTTCCCACAGTCTTCAGGATGTGCTTATGCAAGATTCGAGGCTTTACCTTATATTTGAATTTTTATCTATGGACCTCAAGAAATACTTGGATACTATTCCGTCAGGACAGTATTTAGACCATATGCTTGTTAAGGTAAGGAAACAATACTGTAAATTAGTCGTTTAGTAATGAGCACTCCATGGAACTTTTGCACCTTCATTAACCACACAAGGAATTCCTGATGACATTTGTAGACTCAGGGTAAATTCCAGGTCACACACGGTGCTGTATGGCTCTGCTGCCTTGCATAAACTCAGTGTGTCCCTATACACTTCTGATTGTCTGACAATAAGACCACAACACTTCTGATTGACCTCGCTGTCTAGGATAACCAAGGACAATGGTAGGCAACCTGTGGCCTTCCAGTTACTTTGGCCTTCAGCTCCTCTCATCCTTCACTGTTGGTTATGCTGGCTAAGGCCAATAGGAGTTATGGGACCCAAGCCGGAAGGCCACAAGGTAACATATAAGAGTTTGTGCACCAAATCATCCCAGGAAATGATCTGGGGTCACCCAGTGCAATAACACTGCTGAAGCTGAGTGTGTATACCCACACGATGCTTTAGGAGTCCATAAGCAAAAGGAAAAATACTAGTATCAGAGAGGTGAATCACCCTTATTTTGCCCTCAGACCCCATTGCCGGGACAGGGGCTTTTCACTTTTGCCAGAGCTCTGAACCGAGAGCTTCAGGGTTCTTTTGATCACTTTATATGGCCTTCAAGCCCCAGATGTGGAGCATTTCACCTTACTCTTCACGTAAAAAATTCTCCCGGAATAGCTCACAGAAGACAATAAGAATGTCTCCACTCTCTCACCATTTAAAAGACACAACACAAAAGAGGGGTTTAGGAAGGAGAAGGAAAAAGCGAACTCGGATTACAGAGTTTTAATAAGCAGCTGGTATGGAAACAGTTCAAGGAGAGGAGTTGCCCAGGGTTGCCGGTCCTCTGCTACTGGTCCTGCTCCCCGTCACTCTGATGGAAGTGCTGCTCTTGGGGGCCGGGGGCCTGACAGAGCTGGTCTCCCAGCAGTGCCCATGCAAAGCACCTCCCAGAAACCTTCAGCTATGGGGCAGTATAGAAATAAAATAATGATTATTCTGCATGTCATTTGTATATGGCTGGTTCCTGGGAGTGCTGCAAGCCGTTCACAAGGATGATGGTGTCTGTGGGCTGCCTGTTATAACTGACCTGGGTCTGTCCTCCTTTCAGAGTTACTTGTACCAAATCTTGCAGGGGATTGTGTTCTGTCATTCAAGAAGAGTTTTGCACAGAGACTTAAAGCCTCAGAACTTGTTAATTGATGACAATGGAGTAATTAAACTCGCTGACTTTGGGCTGGCTCGAGCTTTCGGCATCCCTGTGCGCGTCTATACACATGAGGTAAGGGGTCCTGAATGAGCTGAAGAAAAAGGAAATATCAAATAACAGGAGAGTACAACCGATCAATACTTTCCCACAGCATTCTATAAACAACAACAAAAACCTCCTCTCCAGGTGTGCTACAATGCTAGTACAACATTATTTAGCAGTTATTTTTCTCATTCTTGCTAAAATGTTTCCTGCAACTGTTTTATCTCCAGTCCTGAGTAGGGGCATGGTGCAGAACGCTTTTTCTGCCAAAAGTCTGCCGGACGCCCGTTTCAGCTTCCCAGATGGCCTGCTTTGCAGTGGTCCCGGTCCCTGGTGAGGGTGCCCTGGGTTCGCGGGGTGCTCACCATGAGTGAGCAGGCAGCAGTGAGCAGAGGAGAAGGGAATGGCCGCTGGCACGCCGGTGTGCTGTGGCCCCTCACCCCACATGCTGCTGGCAGTGGCAGTGAGCAGATCCAAAGGCTGGCTGCTGCGAGTGGCCGCTGGTGAAGGTTGCCCGTTGTGCGAGCGAGGGCCCACAAGGTTTGTAGGACCACACCGAGCGTGGGAGGAAGGCCATGGATTCTGGGGCGAAGGCTTTCCAAAGGGTTTGTCCTGGCCCTAATCCTGGGTAATCGTATCTCACTTGAATTAAAGCATCATTTATCTAATCTCACCACCGTCAAATGTTCCTATAAGGTGAAATGTTACCCATTTATGTTCCAGGACAAATGTTGGTCTGCCACTCTCTTAAAGCTGGTGTGGCTTATTTGCTTCCAGCATTGCTGGTGTCCTGGCAGGAGCTGATAGATATTTGCAACAGGTGTAACAGATTCCTTTCACCTGTCCAATAGTAAAACAATTGATGGGGAATTCGTATTTGGTCGTACTGTTTATTGTACAAGCATTTAGGGGCTACTGTGATTTGTATCTTTACAAGGCCAAGTTTTTTGTTTGAGCTCTGCAGAGGCTTAACTACATTTCCATCATCATGCCATAGCCAGTTTATACACCTTCTCTAACACCTGAGACGTCCTTGTAGTCGTTTTGTAACAGAGCATCCTCGTTTCTTTCACTTCCCCAGTGCTAAAAGTTGCACTCAAAAGTTAAATTTCCCATATAATGTTGTAAGTTACTGCATAGCATTAATTGGGCAGCCAAGAGCCTCAGGCGGGGCACAGGCCAAGAAGGCCATAACCCTTCCTGCCTGCCTGTTCTACCCGTTCCTCATCAGAACCTGGCACGCTGCATCTAAATCTGGAAGCTCCACTTCCTTGTGGTCGTGAAGAGCTGTTGCCTGAGCTGCTGACCGGCTTCAGATGACGCAACCAGCCATAGCAACCCGTGGCTTGGGCTTGCATATTCATAGTGGTGGATGGCATGCACCGTGGACTCTCAAGGGTTAATGAACCCAGGGTGGGTTGTGGTGTCTTCCACACGAGGTCAGGCAAACATGCTGTGTATTCCCATTGGGTTTTGAGCACCGGGTTATTTGAACCCATTGGTTATCATGTGAGAATCTGGTCCATAGGCTTGTTTTGGGGAGGTAGACAAGATGGGTGGTTGTTGTCTTTTTAAAGCCCCTCTTCTTGCTATTGCAGTGCAACAAAGTCACAGGGAACTCAAGAATGGTTGTACTGATTCCAGAATTGTTGTGTGATGGTCACTGTAGTTGATAGTTGCTTCAAAGTGTGCCCTTCAAAGGCCATTAAGAAACCCTCTAATTGGCCCTTTTTTGTGCTAGGTAGTAACTCTGTGGTACAGGTCTCCAGAAGTCTTGCTAGGCTCTGCACGTTACTCCACACCTGTCGATATTTGGAGCATAGGTACAATATTTGCTGAAATGGCCACTAAGAAGCCACTTTTCCACGGGGACTCGGAAATCGATCAACTCTTCAGGATTTTCAGGTATCAAACGCAGAGTTGGAAGGATCTTTCACTCATGCATAAAGTTGCAGTTGACCAACAAGTTTTAGTTCTGCTTTCGCAGAAATATATCGTCAGTTTTAGACGGTTTTGTTGTGTGTGCTGTGAGTTGAGACCAGCACTTCCTTGTTTGTCTTTGTTAGTCCTTTTATAATGGCAAACTATTAACCAGTACATTGTTGTGGTTCAGAACTGAGTGGGTTCTGAACATATCTGCTTGGAAACAAGCTTCTCTGAGTTTGATGGAATTCATCTGCTACTTAGAGTGCTTAGCATTTCACCCTTAATGGCCCAATTTCCTAGTGAAAGGGTTCCTTCCACACTACTTCTGTGTGGAGGATATTGTGTGCTGACTTTTTCCGCACACAATGATTTAATAATAATAATCCAGATAGCCTTGTGCTCAGGCTAGGAAGAAGCTGCAGTTTCTGTCGGTGCTGCTCTGGCCATGGCTTCTGTGGTTAGATGTAGTGAACTGAAAAGTAAAAAGATAACACGATAGTATCACTTCAGTATGTTGTGGGGGGGTTGTGTGAGCCCCCTCACAGAGCTGAACAGTGTGCTCCCCTGCAGCACTACTGCCTTACCGGTGTGCCTTCTTCAGAAGCTTGAGAATTTCAACGCAGCTATACAACGGGTATCTGGATTAGTACAATTTGAGCATTACCACAGTCAAGTTGCCACAGACAATTCTCAAAAGTGGGGATTCAAAAGAATCTTTTGGGGCATACTTGCCAAATGTAGCTTAAATAGCAAATCCTGCAGGGACTCCCCAAGGCAGAGGAGTCACCTTGGTCTGAAGTCCTGCTGAGCTCATGCTTGGAAGAAAGGGTCAGTGGGTGTTTTCCTTCCCTCTTACCATTTTCCTTTGGTTGGGCCCAAGCCGTCCCCAGTCCCTCGACAGGATGTCCCTCACAGCCTCAGGCAACTCTGCAATTATTTCTCCTGCAGAGCTCTAGGGACGCCCAACAATGACGTGTGGCCTGAAGTTGAATCCTTGCAGGATTACAAGAACACGTTTCCCAAGTGGAAGCCAAGCAGCCTGGCTTCTCATGTGAAAAATCTGGATGAGGATGGACTAGACCTGCTTTCTGTAAGTCAGCACCTGGATGGAGGGATGGGTGGGTGGGTGGATGGATGGATGGATGGAGAGCACAAACAGAAAGGGGGAATGTGTATAATTTTATAGACAGAGAGAAATTTTGATGCAAGGTGAACATTGTTCTCTTGCTGAAAGATTAGGCTGTTCCCCACAACTGCTGGAACAAATCAGGAGTGTTCAATAAATCGAATGGGAGTACGTCTAAATCCTGTGATTTAATTGGTCACAGGATATGCAGAGGACTTGTATTTGTATGGGAGAAATTTGGTCTGCGTGTGTGTATACAATATCTTAAAAAATCTGAGGTACTAGGAGAACAAAGATCTGTCCAGTCTGGTGTTTTTCTCTCACAGTAGCCAGCCGCTAGCTTTAGGAAAGCCCACGAGACCCCCTCCCTGTTGTGATTTCCAGCAACTGAGATTTATTGGTGTTAGTGACGCTAGCAGTGGAGGTTCTCCTTGGCTACTGCAGGTGATCACCACTGATAGCCTTCTGCATGAATTTCTCTACTCCCTTTTAAAACCATCTCATCCTGTGGTCATTGCCTTCCCCAAACTGGTGCCTCCCGATGTGCTGGGTTGTGGAATTATGGGAGTTCTCTTCAAGCTGGAATGCACCAGCTTGAAGAATGTGATGGTAGTGAAGCCCATAAACTTTGTTATGTGATAAATGGAGTCTTTTTTTCCCCCTCTGATGCCCAAACTACTGCTGAACTAATGTGACCATGTGAGTGAAAGCACCGTTTCCTCTGTCTACTTTCACTAGACTCTGCATAATCTATGCCTAATTTTATAAAATGATACCACTTTCCCACCCCAGCTTCATTCCTGCATCTCTTGAGCTGTCAAATTACCCTCAAGGGCATGCCTTTTTGCGTGATGCAGATGCGAGGATTCTGCTTCCCATGAAGTGGGTGTTCCATGCTGGTGCAGGTACCCGACTCATGCCACCTCTCTTCTGAGAGAGAAGTGTATGAATCGGAGGCTGGACACAGCTTGATGTCTCTACGAATGGGACACGGGCTTCATGGATTCTGACACATGTAGTAGATGGAGCTGCGCCTGCTTTTCCACCGTGTGAAAGAAGAGCATGACAGGTTACGATATATGAACTGGGTCTGAGGGATGTGGGTGAAGCTGCTCCTGAGAACCAAAGCTTCTGGCTTCACCAAAATTAAAATGTTGACATTGAAGAATCATTGAAGATAGTTAGGTAGATTGGGTGTGATTAGTTCTCTTCTGGTGGCATGCTTGTGACCAGTGTCAAACAACCTGAAAAAAGAAGAGACTAGAATGCTGGGAAAAGCAGATATTTGGTGCATTCGGGCATGAAATGTGCAGTGGTGCTAAGGATACTGGTCTGTCTAAGCTTGCTCGTACGCCAGGTGGTTCATCTGCCTTTATTTTGACTTGCAGAAAATGTTAATCTATGACCCCGCAAAGAGAATTTCTGGCCGTGTGGCCCTGAATCATCCATACTTTGACGATTTGGACAAATCCAAACTTCCAGCTAATCGAATCAAGAAAAGCTAACTACCCCAAAACAACCTGAGGATATTTGGAGCAGAAATATTCTCTCTCTCTCTCTCTTTCTCTCTCTCTGTGTGTATTTTATATGTATGTGTCCTGTCCTTTTCTAAAACTGTAGCCCTATTTAGAGTGCTCTGGTTTAAATTTTTGCTGAATGTAAATATTAACCTGTTCCCTAACCCAATGAAATTGTTAACTGTTAATGAAGTTCACCATTGTATAAATAAACACTTTAAATCTAGCAGAGGAGTGCAGACTCCTTTGAAGATGCTGAAGAACTTTTTAACTGTACTAAAATGAAGGGGTGCAGAAGTTGCAAGGCAGGTTGGGTTACGTCAGTGGACGTACATCACCGTGAAAATGAAATGAGACCCGGGAAGGAATAGAGCAGGTCGAGGCAGGCTTGATTCTCAGTGTGGACTCAACAGGAGCAGGTGTAGGCTTCACCCCAGTGGGGTTCTGGAACATGCCGTATCGCACTTCCCCCATAGAACTGAATCCCCGCCCGTTTCATCTCACACAAGAGTTGTGCTTGCACATCCTGACGGAGTAAGGACAGAACCGGGCCTGCCTTTCACTGTGTCCCATTGTACGCGCAGCCCTGGAGCCTCCCCGTGCTCCGAACATGCAGGCGCGGTGCCTCTCTCCTCCCCAACCCCACCCTCCTGGCTTGGCAATACGCGCCACGTCCGTTCCTGCACACAGGCTCCACCCATCACAGTCAGCACTCGTCGGGCTCACCTGCAGTCGCCATTGTGTTGTTGCTGGGCAGCTCTCCATGTCTCTTCATCATCGTGTTTTCCCTGACCCTGCCCTTGAGTCTTCCTGGCAGTTGCCATTTAGGATGGTGCCCCCACCAAAGAGTCAGAAACCATTTCACGAGGATTCACAGCATATTGGCATGGAAGAGCCGTTTGCGTAATACGTTCTAGAAGCAGCCTCATGATTTGCAAATCTTAATTCCATGGCGTTTGCATTTATTTATTTTTGCATCTGCATGCCGCCCCATACTCCAAGTGGAGTATAGACCATGATCTCTTGTCACTCTCAGAATGGCAAGTGGCATTTGCTCTGGTGGCTGTCGCTTTGTGGGTCCGGATTAGTGTTTATTTCCTTATTACATTCCTATCCCACCTTTTTTGCTCTTGCAATGAACCCAAGGCTTGGGTTCTTCACCACCCTGCAAAGAAACTTAGGCTGAGATTCAGTGCCTGGCTCAAACTCACCTGGCAACCTTCACGGTAGGGTGGGGGGCAAGAAACGCGATCTCGGGAGCCCTGGTCCAGCACTAACCAATATATCTCAGTGGTTCCATGCCTTCAGGTGGCATTTGTGCTGTTTGTACGTTGTCCAATAATGGTGTGTATTCGGGGGTTACAACAAAACACTAATAAAGTAACATGAACATAGTAACAAGTCATTGGTATGTGTGGCATCACTAACAAACAGCCGATTGAAATGGCAATAGACTAAAAATGCACAGAAATTAAAGCCTGGGGAAATAAGTTTCTACCTGATGCTAAAAATGTAGGGAAGGCAGCAGGAAGGCTTTTTGCAAGGGGCATTCCAAGACCAGGGGCTACTCTTGAAAAGAACTTTCTGGGAACAACTATCTCTTGTTAGGGCCACCTGGTGAAGACCTCTGAAGATTATTGTAGGAACTGGTAGAGACACGCAGGACACATGAGATCCTTTGCGTAATCCACTCCCAAGCACTTAAGGCTTTAAAGGTCAAAGCCAGCACCTGATAAACTTTACTGGGTGAATCTGAACACCGCTGGCCTGGAGGTTCCTGGGCAGCCCTTTCTGTTTTTTAACCTAAAAAGACTTCCGTGAAGAGAACAAGTGAGAGCTGTGACAACCTATTCTAGCATGGGGTGATTCTGTGGACCCAAGCCAGGCCTTCTGACATACTCCATTCTTTTTCTCTAAACTCTGGAATTTTCCCAGGCAGGTGCTGCTTCCTCCTCTTTGTGTATGGACGATGCTCTTGTGGCCACATAATTCTCTGCCCTCTGAGAAAGTGTCGCTGTAAGTCCAAGCATGCGCCAAATATATATTAGGTAAGCCATGGCTTCATTGCTGGGATGTCATATTCTCCTTGACCACAAGATGCCAGTGTAGTATCTAACCAAAAATTCTAACATAATGCGAGGTGTGGGGCAGAAGGCTTGCCTAAGCTGACTGATTCTTGTACTCCAAGGCTTTTGGTATTTTCCTGACATACAGTTACATCCACAGTGCATGCTTAAAATGGCTTTGTGCCAGTTATGGCTCCTACGTACACCCATCCATGGGGTTATAAAACTAATGATAATGAAGGTGTTGGTGCTACGATGCTGTGGACTTGTAATAGGGCCAAGTGAGGAATCCAAAGGGAGGGTAAAATACTGACACCCACAATTCCACATTGTCAGCTATATGCTGGTGCTGACCTGTTGCCATACAGAGCTCTAGATCCAAGATGGGTTACCAGTTGTGTGTTTTTTCATCACTAACATGATTTGCTGAATACACACATGAAAATCAGGCCACACAACCATGTTTAGTACAGAATCAGCAGATCTGTGCAGATTCTCAGTACCCTTTATGCTCTTCTGCAAATAAGTCTGCACAATGTGCCTAAGAGCAGCATGGTTTCAGGATCAAATTAGCAATGATTCATTAGCAACTAAACAATTTGCAAATATGCCATCCACTTGGCAATCAGTGAAAATTAAATGGGAAGGGCCATAGAATTGGTAAGTGGGCAGAAAATCCATCGAGGTAATAAAACTTGGATTTCTTCTTTTAGTGCTTTGCACTGATATGGTGATATACCAAAATCCAAACATATTACATGTATTTTTTCAGAAAACATGCACAGAGGAAATACAGAGGTAAGACTTTTTCTGACCCTAACCCAAATATGACTAAGCCTAAACCCAGCTGTGCTATTTGCACACTGAGGACATGGATGAAAGCAGCAGCCAGGGGGTTCTGGGAGCTCTCACACCTTCACTGCCCAATTCAGCCTCTTTCTAGGCCCTTGGGGATAACACAGGGATCCATGACTGCCCAATCCTACCTCTTAACTCAAGCTTCACCCCAGCTTGAACAGCCAGCTTTATTTCCTGTATGTTGAGGCAGGATGCCCCAAAAGCGACACTCGAGTTATTCTTGGTTGTTCAATTGGCTTGCTCCATCTCGGTGACAGCAAGACTCATGGATCTCCACAGAGAACCAATATTTCCTAACCCTAACCAGAAGACTACCAACAGGTATTATTCCCCTGCATTCAGTTCCTATGCAGATCTTCCTCATTCCAATTACTGTTGGAGACTTGGCTGCAATGGGAGGAGCACTGGAGGCCTCTCTCCCTTTTTGCTCTTTATGGTGATGCTTTTGAGACCTCCCTCTTTCCCCCTTTGTTGCCTCTTTCTCTACAATAATGATGATTTTCTGCAGTAGTTTTTAAAAGTTAATGGACTTGACGGCAGTTTGTAAGTATGGGTTCTTCGTAACTTGGGCATTTAACCCAGGGACTGCCTGTATCTCCTTTCGCACCCCTTTCAGGGTGATGCATACCTCACCTGCTGAAGTACAAGGCCTTTTTGCAGTTCAATGAGCGTGTCTGCAAGGAAGAAATTGCAGCCACGAAAGCCACAAATCCTATTAAAACAGTGCGGGCTAGTCAGAAAAGCAGTCATTAGAGTTCTAATTACTCTAGGCAGGCTGAGTCTCTGAAGCAATCAAGCAGTCTCTCCTGACCATCAACAGCCCACGACTGATTTCACTGTGGTACAATATTGAGTTGCAGTTGAGTAGGGAAAAGACACTGGCCAGCATATAGTGTGGGAAAAGGTACCCATCCTTGCCATATTGGTCCGTCTGTCCTTCATCAGCACACAGGGAATTTGTAGTTAATCATGCCCATCTCTCCCTTCTTACATTGTCTGGCATCGTTTTTCCAATAAGGCAGACAAAATGCTTTAATTTTATTTTAATTTCTCCCAGCTCAGCATATTGGGACGATACGCTTGCTTCCAGCTCAGAGGAGTCTGCCTTGGCAGAGAGAGCGGTACAAGGCTAATACATGTCATTTTGTATAATCCTCATTAGCTGTTCCATCTTTGAAAAGAAAATCCCTGCAGGGAATTCAGAATTTCACTTTAAGAAAAGAGTGAGGGAAGAGATGTGCTTATGCCATAAAACCTGGCTAATGAGGGCCAGCACGTACACAAGCCTCATTCTCGTTTTGGAAGAGAAACTGCAAGAGGTAACCCTCACAAAGCGATCCTCAGTCTAGTTCCCCTAAAACTCTCTCAGCCAGGGTCTTTTGTTTTCCCCCCTAACAAGCAGCAAAGGACAGGGCTCCTATAACCTTAATATCCTTGCAGCAAACAGTTTCAGGAGATGGAGTGTACACGTGTGTATTCTGCTTCTGTTCACACATTTCTTGTAACGATGGAAATGTGACATGTAAAAAATCCACTCCAGCTCACTAGCCCATACATTTGACCATGCAAGTACCCCTTGGTGTGCTTTGCTTGGCTTTAGGATCCTCATTTCTTTCCCTCATTTCTTTCCCACAAAGAAGACTGGTCTAAGAGGTACTCTTGCGCAAGTTTTTTTTTACGCCTGTAACTCCCAGCCTGCCCTAGCCAGCCCAGGTAGCTGGGGCATGCTGGGAGTTATAGGTCCTTTTTCTATACACAAACAGGACCCTTAAATAATGTAAAATCATTATTTGAATTGACCAGAAGAAAAGTCTGGCTTTTATTGATTTGAAATTAACTTTCCCATTGACACAATTTCATATGTTTATTAAATGGTGCAGATATGATTACTAAACCATGTAAATTTAAGGCTGCAGTCTTATATTTACCTGAACTGAATGGGGCTGACTTCTGGGTAAACACTGACAGGATAAATGGTCAAAAGCCACATCTTTGTAGAACCTAAATACCATATAAATGGTTTGGTTTGAAGACCCCTGTACTTCTATTGTCATTCAGAGAAATAAAATCATTCTAAATATGACTATTTCCCTTTACTTCCCACTATTTTGTATTCATAATGAAATATCCATACATCTTGAAATTGTTTCTTATCGTGGGAAAAAGCCCTACAGCTCCTGACATGCGTAAAAACACCCATTCTGATACCACGGGCCTATTTGACCCTGATTACATCTTAGTTTTAAAACAAGAAGATAGATGACAATGGGTCCAATTCACTGTTTAAAAGAACCTCACCACATTGTGCAAGGGCTGTCACAACAAGGATGCTCTAGCAGAAAGCAGTATGGTTTCTAACAAAGGCTCTGCTAGAACAACCCCAGTGGTGTGACAGAGAGGCTCCATCCATGCACTACTGGGTGTCTCTAGCTGAATGATAACAGGTCTGCAATGATCCCCAAATGTTAATCCTCTTTCTCCTTTCAGTTCAAAGCTTTCTGCATGGTCATGCTCCTTTGGTTTTGCTTTTCAATAAGCACCTTAGCTACTGAATCAAAAATGATTACAGTGTTAGCAACAACTTCAACCATCTTGGAACTATTTTGAGCCCCTTGAAAAATGACCTTTAAGCCTAGAGTGTTTTGTTTCCTCCCATTCCATTTCATAGAATCGTAGTAGAGTTGGAAGGGGCCATGAAGGCCATCAAGTCCAACCCCCTGCTGTTGCAGGACACCACGTTCCACCATCCCACTCAGATGGCTGTCCAGTTTCTTTTTGAATGTCTCCAGTGTGGGAGAGTCCACCACCTCCCCAGGCAGCTGGTTCCACTGTCATATTGCTCTGACAGTGAGGAAGCTTCTCCTGATGTCCAGCCTGAATCTGGGTTGCCGCAACTTGACTTGATTATTCCATGTCCTACACTCTGGCATCAGCAAGAAGAGATCTTGACTCTCCTCTTTGACTGGGGTGTAAGCAACACCGGGGCCTTTGTACTGCAACCCTTGAACTAAAACGTGGGGCTGACACAACTTTTACTGTGGGAGAATATAAGGAATATGAACTGACAAGATAGTGGTAGACATTGTAGATACCTCCTTGGGGGTCAGTCTGACCCCCAAATATATAGGACAGTTATCACATTTGGCATAATCAAACTGTCTTGTTTCCCCTTGCTAAGGATTGGGATGTCTAAGTTCTAATTTGCTGCTGCAAACGCTGCTTTCTTAATGCAATACTGCATGTAGTGAGGTCATAGATTACCTCTGCAGAAAGTGCATTTGGCACTGAAAATGTTTCTGTCCCAATCCCTCATGTGCGTATCTGTTGGTTGGCTAATAGGGTTGTTTGAATAATAATAATAATAATAATAATAATAATAATAATAATAATAATAATAATAGGGCTCCCCCCTAAGCATTCACATCTTCTGGCAACCACTTGAATGGTCAAAGCAGAGGGAAGATGAGCACGGAGAATTTAGAAACCTAGCTGTAAAAAGAGAAAACTGTCACTATACGGCCACTGCTTTATCATGGGAGTGAATGCTTGATATTTGAAGAATGTCATTAAAAGCCTGCTACAAAACACTTAACAGGTGAGTTTATAGCATACCATAAAGCTGCCACAAACCTGTCCGCAAGGAAGAACAGGGTAATTTGTCAACTCACCCAAGGCAGGAGATTTCTTTTGTTGGCTTACTCCACTCATGCGTACACGGACATGAATATGCAGAGACAGGCAGAGTTTATAGACGCATCCAAACAACTATTTTAAAATGAGATAAAGCACTGCATTTATAGTGGAAGGAATCACTCTAGTGGCTTTTTTCCGACAATGAACACAACCTTACCACTTTCTGCAGCCAGTTACGATGCAGCTTGGATGCTCTTGGGATGGCAGAGGTTGAGGTGGCTAGATGGGGTCATGGGCGGTGGGCGTGGGGTTAGCTGGACTCTGGGGGATGATGGAGGACAGGAGGGCCTGGAGGAATGTTGTCCAGGGGATCATAATAGGTCAGGCATGACTTTGCGACTGAACAGAAATCGGGTGCTCCCCGTTCAAGCTGACAGTGTGAGTTGGTTCTGTTGTAAAGAGCGTGCAAACCCTTTTCTCATCTGCGTGGCATGGCTAGTGAGCCCAGAGCGGAGGCCTGCTTCGACCGGCACTTCTCTGTGTTCACCAGATGCAAAGCAAGTCCTCGCATCCAGGCCTTCTGGAGATGGCTACAGCTGCCACGTTGGCAGAGCTCCTTCTCAGCATCCAGTTGGCATGACCCTGCTCTTCCTTGGCCTACCTCAAGTGTGATTGCCAAGCCATTGAGAACAGGGCTTTCATCTGGGTATTCCCACAAGGGGAGTATTTGGCCAGGAAGGTCTGGAGGGCCCCAGGTTCTAGATCCCTCCTGAGACCACCTGGTTAGGAAGACCACAATGTTTCGGGTTCAGTGCAGGATTTGTCTTCTTCTGACAGGTGTTCTGCATACAGAAAATGTTTCCAACCAAGTTTCAGACTCCTTGTCCCCCACCACAGTTGACCCCTTCAGCAGGACTACCTGGCTTCAGTGTAGCATTTCTAGGGCCTTGGATGGACCACCATGGGGAGGAAGTGTGTGGGAAAATCCACCTCTGTCAGCCCAGTTGTGAAAAAATCATTTTAGACCCAATCTAATACTTACTAATAGCCAGCTGGTTCAAACTGTCTAGGTCTTCTGCCATGGAAATCAGAAACCTACTAAAACCCAGCTGTTTAAAACCTTTATGATTTTATTGCTCTTTTCTTGTCTATTTTATGGATTATTGTCAGCCCCCCAGAGAGCTATCAAATGAAATAAATAATGATTAAGAAGGCCAATTCATCCTTCCAAATAATTTCTACCTTGTAGCCAATTGGCTACCTTGGCCCCTTACATCAGAAATGAAGTCTGTTTCATAACTGGTCCAGACTATATTCCATCTTGAATGCAAACTGATCTCAGGTTCTCTCATGTACGTTCAGTATTTATTTCAGTACGTATTCTATGGAAGCATGTGAATCCAAAAATATTCTGTAAGAAATTAGTAATATCTGAGACCAAATACTTCTATGTATGCTGTAAAGCTCAAGGCCCCTTCCACCTGCTGAATTAATGTTTTGCGACTTGGCAGTTGGAATCCTTGGGTTAAGCATGTGTAAAGCTGCAACATTTCATTGTCCTTTAATTACAACTTCACTGCAGGATGTTTTCGAAGCTAGAAGATGGCTTGCATTGTTGCTGTTTATTATTTCAAATAAATATTGTTGTTTATTTGTATCTCACTTGTGTGTAAGGTAACCAATTCAAGGTCCCAGGTTTTTCTGGGTGGGAGGCTGAGCCAGAAGGAAGATAAAATTTTACACTGAACCTGACCTTGATCAAGTATAACCTTTCTTTCCAAGGATTATACTTGGAAAGAAAGCAGAAAAAAGGTAGACACAATGCAACGCAACAATAATCACTACCATGAGTTCTAGCTCCAGCAAAGAGCGGAGATGAGAAACTGGCTTTGATACAAGTGCCAGACTTGGGCTTCTATATTCAAGCAAAACCTCACAGTCATAGGATGTTTGTCATAGGAAAGTGACCGTACCCCATTTGAGTGCTTGGCCCTAACTCTTCAGTCCAGCCTTTCAGTTTCACTGGTTTGGAGGAAGAGGATTGTGTGAGAACTCTTAGAACTGGGCTGCTGGGTTTCTGCTTCATGGGTCAGAAGAATAAATCACACCGGAATGTTGGCACCTGTTGTTTCAGGGCTGCCTATTTAGAGAGAAGCACAAAGAGCATTTGAAAGATTCTATCGCTGATCAGAAACTAGAACCAGCCATTAGGAAACGTGTTATCGCTAAACAGTTTTATTGTTTTTTTGCAAAATAAAAACCAAAACAACCCCCCACACACCAAGATTAAAGGCTATAGGCAGAATTAAACCAAATGAACCAGCCACTTGGTTGTATAACCATAATGCTGGTTATTATTGCATATAACCCTGGTTCACATGTGCATGACAGTGTCAGTTTGGCAAGATTACAATCAAAGAGTAGCTTTGGTTTTGTAAGAACTATTAGTAATGCTTCACAAAACAAACCATCTGCTAACCTTTTACAATGGAGGCTCCATCTGTATAGAACAGCGCAGGCCTCTTTGTTTAAGTTGTGGTTGGCCACAAGCAGAGATCAAGGGCTATACGGGTTGGGGGAACGCAACTCTCCCCTGGTACCTCCTTTGCCTCCCTCTGTGAAGAAGAAACATGGCACCAGGGGAGAGGCATAAAATTTGCCACAGGCAGGGGAATGGGTTATCACCCTCCTGGTTGCTTGCTGAGCTTTAAAAATCAACCCCTCCCATTAAACCAACAGGACTGCCCCCTCTGCATGCAGCCTGAGCCTCAACACCAGCTGTTTTGCTCATCCCAACTTCCTTTCCGCAGAGTTGCACATAGTTGTAACCGCTCTTCCCTTCATAGCCCTTTATCACAGTACAATTTTCTTTTAACTCAGAGATGGACCATGAGTGCCCATCCAGCAGTTGAACTGCACCTCCCATCATCCCTTGCTATTGCTTATGTTGGCTAAGGCTGATGGGGGTTGTGGTCTGACACAAGCTGGAAGGCCAGCCCCTGTATTAGGTGATGGAGTTGTCTTCTACACAAGACATTTCTGTTCCACCAGAACCTCCCTTCAGCTGTCCTTAGTGGAAGGTCCACCTTCTGCAGAGTGATGCCTGGCAGCCGAAACCTGGACTGGCTCGGAAGCTGAGTGACTTTCTTTGTGCTACTTTCCTGACCTTAGCAATGGGGTTTGAGCCCACGGTCTGCAGAGAAGGAAAGAAGGCAGCCTTTCTCATGGGCTGCAAGCAAGATGGGAAAGAGACCAAGCTGTGGCCAAGGTGCTTCATAACAAAAAAAGAAAGAAAAGTGCAGAGGAAGACTGCACCTGTCCTTTCCCCAAGCTTTTCTACAGCTCATGCCTCTATGGCTATGGCTGGCCTGAGCTTGCTATGCACAGTTCTACAGCCACATCCACCTTCTATGGTGAAATTCAGGGCAAGCCGAGATGTTACCTCACTCCACTTTGCATCCCACTTCCTTACGGAGGTGCAAACCTCCCATTTTTTTCCCCATGCTTTTAAGTCCTACTTCCCAATACGGGGCAGTCTCCTCCTCCATTCTGTCTTCCTCCTGAGGAAGTTGCAAAACTCACAATACTGTCACGTGCCATTTATGTACAGGTGCTCATGCTCCAGTGTACAGGTGGGAATTAACCATGTAGAAGAGGCTGAGGCCGGGATAAGGTAAAACGTAGACCAGCTGTCATCCACTTTGCAAAAATGGAATACTGTATGATCTTGTAGTACACACAGCATCACCTTGATTACGGGATACTAGCTCCAGCTCTGGTGGGGCTAAATCGCAATGAGAGAGAGTGGGGCGGGGGAGAGAGAGACAGAAACAGAGAGACAAAGAGACAGAGTGACAGAGACAGAAATGGGGATCGGCCATAGAAGACGCAGGCTGCAAGTCAAAGTGATGTGTGCGGAGGGAAGCAAACAAAATTGCAAACATTGCCTGCATCCGGGCACCTAAGTAAGTGGGAGGTGATATGCCTTTGGCCTTGAACCCTTCATCTGCCTGCCTTACATGTGAATACTGAAGGATCTTATGGCAAACCCTCTCTCAAAGCTCTTGTATAAAAGCTCGGCGTGTGTGGGCAGCAAGCTGCACAAGCAATGGGGGATTTGAACCCAAGTCTGACGCCAGCACATTGCCTGTTATATCATTTTTGTTCTCTTGGGCAGGAAGTATCTAGTTGCTGCTAAAATGTTAAGAAAAGTGACTTACTACAGAGATAAGGGGCTAACAATACAGGCCTGCTCAGAAGGAAGTCTCTCTTAATTTAACGGGGCTTATGCCCAGGTTACTGGGCACAAGAGTGTAGCTTTAACTTCAGCACGACTTACTTTGAAAGCTTTGGAGGCTCTGCAGGACTGTGTGTGCCGCTTTGGGGAGGAAACGGGTAGATGCAAAAAGTCTGGGCTTTTCTCGGAACATCTTTTTCCAGCATATTTAAAAGGCCACAAAAGATCACGTGCATGGGGAGCCATGAGAGCCGAAGCTATGGAGCGGCAGTCCGGTATTCTCTGCCCTGCAAAAATGCACTGACCACATGAGCGGGACCGTTCTCACAGAGCTAGCTAGCAGTGTGGTGGTGCATCCACTGCAGATGAGCACACCAGTGGGTCAGTCCCGATGGGAAGTGCATTTAAGGAATGCTTTCAGAGGAAAGGCACTTACCCACTGTGACCGTCGTGCATTAAGAGCGCATTTGGGCCAGACTGGTGAATGCAGGTGCCTGGCTGATGTTCGGTAGTCTAATAGAAGAGATCGATTTATGTCAGCAGCCCTTAACATGTAGACACTCACGATGAAGCAAGCGGATTTCAATAAGCAGACGTTTCTTAAACGTCAAGGCATGGACAACTCTAAAGAACTAAACCAAATAATCACTAAGAGTGCTACCACCTAGATTCAGATCCTTAGGAAATCTGCAGTGAGTAACGACAGAAACTTAAGGAGGTTTTCTAATTATTTTAAAAGGATCCTCTTGAAAATGCATATATTCAACCATGGAAAATGAACAAAGGAGTTGTTTTTCATGGCCGCTACCTTCTCCCTTACACAGCAAATAAGGTAAATTACACTTCATAATCTTCAGCTGATCACAGATTTTAAAATTCCACAAGACTTCATTGTTGCTGGATCTCATTACATCCTATTACTTCCGAAGAAGAAATAAGGATCTAATTATTATGATCCCACAGTACTCAGGAAGGGGGCTGCTGAGTCAGTTGCCTAGCAAAAGTGGCTTTGTTGCTACGCTGACAATTCCTATCAGGGAAGCTCATTAGAGATGTTGTTTGTATTTCACTGCATCTGCAGTGGGGGGAGAGCAACATAGATCATCTAAGTTAAAGACCGACTTAACGCAATTGTTCTGTGGTCCATGAAAGAAAACGCTTCAGAAATATCGTTTAAAGATCTTCAGACACACGCACACACATGCGCACCCCCGTATAAAAATACTTTGCACTTAAGAGATCAAAACATTAATGCTGGATTTGTTGTATAAAAAGGGAAAAATCAATATTGGTTTATACAGTGGTTTAGCTTATTAATCCCAAAATACAGACATTGCTATGAAGCTGCTTCACACTCACTTCAAGTGTGTTTGTGCTTTTTTGATCGAATGGATGATAAATGCACACAGGTGGAACAAGAACGAGTACCTCAAACCATCTTGTGCACGCTAAGAATGTTCTCTGTGCAAGCTCCATTGAAATGAATGGGAGCTGCATAAAGAGCAGCTTTCATGCAACTGCCATTGATTCCAATAACACTTGGCACAAGGATCGCTTTATGTGGAACGTGGTACTCTAATGGCGGCATGGCTTCTTCTAAAACCATGCTTTCGGATTCAAGGCGTGCGCTCGTCATTCCTCAGATAACTACTGCAGGGGAATTCCAGAAGCACCACTTGCGTTTTGAATGGTGTTTATTCAGTGCAATGTCTTCCTTTTCTCTTTCCTTTTTAACCCGCTGGAAATGATCTTCTTCCTTAAGATACCACACAGGAGGCCAACGGTGTCTCTCGAAATATTCCTGATTATCTGTATTAAGCAAAGAGCAGCTAATGAATTCTCTAGCTAGGACTCAGTTCTGATCTTGAAAATAGTTGGAACTCTGTTGGCTTTCATGCTATCCAAACAGCTAAGAATGCTTAGCACACTTAGGACTTTGTTCTTTCCATGTATCAACCTATTTCATAAAGTGCAGAATCTTGTGTAAAATTTCTGGAAATGCCAGCTTTCTTGGTCCAGTTTCAAGTTCTCATAGTACAGAGCTGGGAACTGTGGGATTCCACTTCTCTTTAGTTTGGGACATTGTGTTCTCAGATACAGAAATCAGAAATAGGTTTTTACGACCTATCATTATAGAAAACATAAAATGTCAGAACACAATACATTCAGAATGGAAATGCCAAATCTGTAGGGATAATACATGTAGCAGAAATGGAATGAAATATAATAGTTTGAGATCGTAACTATTCTGTTGTCAAGCAAATTTTAGACACCTGCCATGCAGTGCAGGATTACAGAAAGGTATTTCTGCTCACCTTGCCTTGGTTCAGTGATAAGCATGCTGAATCTAACATGTGGAAACATGCTGGCATGCCCACAGGTTGTACCAGAAGAAATAAATTGAGCCTATGCATGTGTATGCTACTTTAGATAGTCTATCAAGCGTTTGTTATATCCAAGGTGTGGAAGGAAGAAGAGCAGTCTTGCCAGTAGGCTATAATCATGCCACTTCAACAAATTTCTTCCGGCGTAGCTTGCTTGATGTTTGAACAGGACTACGGATTATTACAATAAAAATTACTAATGAACAAATTAGAGACAGAAAGAGCAAGATTCCCCCCCCCCACCCCCAGCTAATGCAGCAAAATGAATTCCTACATCAGCTGGCCAGGCTGAGAAGAAAGCATGCTTCTCCCCAAATGGCTACTATTTTGATTCATTTTCATAGAAAAAAGAGCCATGCTATCAAAGACATTGATACATATTTCATATTTCACTCTCAAGTACAGTGGGCTTGTCTTCTATAGACAAAGCCACCAGACACTTCTGTGAAGGCACAAAAGATATTCTGGGAGTAAAGTTTAGAATTTCAGGGCACCATCTACCTGTAAACACCTTCCTGCTCAGATTGACTTCTTACTAGAGGTGCATGAAAAAATAGTTCCGGTTTATTTTCATCAAGACTTCCAGTTCATACTTTCTGGACCAAACATGAACTCAACCTATGGTCCAAGGCCACACATTGCACAGATTCCCAAACATGTGATTGGTGGTGTGCATATGTTTGAAAACATAGAAAAATGCTTACTTCTGAAAAATGTGCATCGGTAACATACTCCGTAGGGGAAAATATATACATTTGAAATAACCATTGTGTACCTTTGTACAACTGTGTGCAAATCAACAAGGATTTTCATGTGAGGAGGAAAAAGAAAAACAAAACTTGCATTCTGGCATGGATGTGAGACAGCAGGAGCTTCAAGATGGCATCTGGCCAACTTCGGTGAGCTGAAGTTTTGCAGATCTGCCCATTCCCACTTTCCTATGCTTACTTCCTTTTTCCGGGCTTCTACTTTAAATTCACTTTTGCTCCATTTAGCCAATATTATCCTAGAATGCAGAGGAGCCAGAAAATGATATAAGCTGTCTCAGGTGCCTTGCAAGAAAAAGGTGGGATATAAACATAATAATAAAGGAAGAGAAGGAATTGGGCATGGCTCCCAGTTGTAAGAAGTGCAGTGTGCTGCTCGGAGCCATTCTGCACCCTGGGGATGCTATTCTATGGCTTTCTGCTCTCAAACTGGCCTTCAGGCATATGCCATTAGATGCCTTCAGGAAAAGGAGAGCTGTTGACACGACAGAAGAAATGGCAGCTGGCCTGTTCTGCACTCCACCGGGGAAATGGAAGGTGCAGCACCTTGGTGGTGGGATACCAGCCCCACTTGGAGACATTTCTTCATGTTGTCCCTTTGCTATCAACACAGTCCTTCCTGAAAGGTACAAATAATTTGGAAACCTGGATGTTCAGAGCTCAATGCAATAAAGCAAAAGGCATATACTTGTGCCTACTTGCTTCGCTGACATGTTTTAAAGCACAGGCTCGAAGAATGAAGACAAAACCAACGGACAAATGATGCAAGGAGGAGTGGAGAAAACTTGCCAAGGAGCCTTACCAGGAGATTTAGTTTTGATTTCCTTTCGGAACTTGGAACAAACACTGTTGTAGTTGGTGCAGATATAGTGCAAGCACCAGGCTGCCAGCTGATTAGCATTGTGGAACTGGAAGAGAAGACAACTGAATTCTGTGATGCAAACCATGAGCTCGCAGAACAATTCTGACAGTGATGCAAGACAGAATTACCCAAGGATTAAACCCTCTTGGCTGCATGTGGAAAAGTTTAACAAGACCCTATGTGCCATACTATCTAAAAGGATAACAGAACTGAAATAAGCTGAAACTGACAAGAAAATCATACGGGTGTGCGTCAGTTCACGGTTCTGAATCAGGGTTGTCGATTGATTCTCACCCAAAGATTAATGGGAATGGTGACTATTTCTAGCTTACTGAGTATAACAAATATCTAGACAGTAGAGCAATGAGGGAAAACACAGGTTTTCATGTTTGCTTCTTAACATTCATGGGGAACTGGGGAAGTATTTGAAGGGCAAAACTGATGAGTGAAGGGGAGGGCTTAACCCTGCCAGCCTTCTGTAACTTGGTGTCTTCCTATCATTCCCAGAGCTGCCATCATTCCTAGCCAGGCTGGCCTAGGCCGCAGTTGCCCATTTTTTCCTCCAACAAGAGTGCCCCAAAACTAGACTTAAGACTTCCTGGGAGAAAATGTAGAGGCAGAGGAGAATGTGTGCTAGACAACCCCCAGTCCTTTGTGCCAAGTCTCCCTATAGATGCTGCTCCATCAGATGCATTAGCTCAGCAAACACAGACTTGGGAACATGTGTACGCTCAGCTAATGTGCAGTTCCACACCAAGCTCTTGAAAGGAACAGCAGGATAGGAAACAAAATAAACAGAGATAACTCTTATAAATCTTCAGTTACGATGAAGAGCGGAACAGAAACACTGAAAGGTACTTGAAATGTTATTCTCATCCTTGGGAAATACTAACTCTCTAAGTTGAATGAAAAGTATTCGGGGGGGGGGGGAATGGGGTTTTTGCACATTGCCACAAGTGCATATACACATATATAACATTTGCACAGAGACAAGACTAACCTGGGCGATTTCCAAGTAACACAGCACGTCGCCATCTATGCTAATACCGCTCATTGCCGTTTTGTTAAGTTCCTGCACAGACTGCAGCTCTGTTGTAGTTGAAAGGGGAACACAGACTGGTTTAGTTCAATCCAGTTTCAAATCTGTTCAACACCCATTACAAGACTGCCCAAGGAAAAGGAGGAGAACAGCTGTAATACTACTACCTTGCGGGCTCATCTGGATTTATTTTTAAAGCCATGGAATAAAGTTGCTTCCAGCCACTTCTCGTTAAAACAACGGGGAAAGAATGTGTGATTCTTGGAATTAACTATCATCATATTACTAATGCAATAATTAACCAAGTCAGACTAGCATAATTAAAAGAACTTTGACTGCTCTTTTATGCAAGACTGGTTTGAACGCGATTGATTTACAATCACTTAAGATCAGCTACCTGACTTGCAAAGTAAGAATTTACAACAGAAACTTTAAAGTTCACACTCTTTTGATTAGAAGTATTCAGGTCTTTTATCACGTACTGTGAATTGCAAAATATTATTTGCTTTCTGCCTCTTAAGCATGCACCAGCTTTCACAGTGGAATAAATTAATTCAGCACAGGCACAAGTGGAAGAACCATTGTTTTCCAACTGCAAATTCTAATTTGGTTTCAGAAAGCAGGCTGACATTTCTGTTTTTGCCCAAAGTTTGTGACAAAACAACAGCTTATAATTTCAATGCCACTGACAGAAAGTTGGTGGCAACACCTGTGAAAAGCCGGGAACCTTACCTGCAAGTGCAACCAAGTGTGGCAGGCAAAATCTGTTTGCCAGTGCAATTAATTCAAGTGTGTCCAGCTCCTGACTTGGTGATAGTTGCTTGGTGTAAAGATAATCCAGAACGGCTTGCATGGAAGCTTTGTTTATGTTGGGAAGAACAACCTGGGTGCAGGGAGAAAAGGTATTTTTAAATGTTCGGAGCTGGGAAATGATCTAAGCAAGGACAGAACATTGGACCATATGGCTGTTGCTATTTTTTCCATATGTTTTTCATCAAACCAGAAAAAGAGAGTGGGGGAATATTGCAAGGAAAGCTTCAAACTTCGACATGCATGGGGAAATCTACATGGAGCAATGCTTGTATACGGCATTAACCAGCCCCCTCTTCTTCATCCACTTAAGACAATTTGTGTGCTGTACTTTGCTTAATTCCTCTTCATCTTTTTATTGCTCAGCATAATTTTACCCTATTTCTGGTAATCATAGGGCACAGAAACGGACTATACACATGACGAGCTTTAGCCTTTGATCGTCAGAAAACTTATTTTTCGTCATGTGTTTGGAAATTCAGCAGGCATTTCCCACACAATTCTAAGCATAATCCTGCAATCCCTAAGAGCTATACAGTTTCTTTTTAATATTTAAATGAGAATTGAGATTCTTACAAGACTAAGTCCATGCAATTTCCATTCTCCTGCCGAAAGATAGTATTACACATCTGGACCCTTTGCATATGGGAGCGAAGATCCTTAAAAAATATGGTCCAAAACTGTCTTGTGCAGTTAGCCCCTGCGTTCCCTCTACCCACCTTCACCCGACACCCTGTCAAGAGTGTTGCAGTTGTTACTATTAGACACACCGTGCTTCTGAAGGCCATTGCCTCACTGGGTCAAAAAAGGGACCTGTGACAATAGCATTAAAAAAAGTGGATGTAGGCAACCTACTTCACATGGTTTATTTATTTTATTTATTTAAAACACTTCTATGCCGCTCCCATCGCAACAAAGCCTCGGGGCGGCTCACAAGGTTGTAGTTATGAAGATGAACAGGAGTGGCGTATGTTCCCTTGGATTCCTCACAAAAGGAGAAAAGCTGGGGTACAAACATTACAATGACAACAGCTAAAACATTTGCTCTATTTTGAAAATAAGGCACATACTGGAGCCCCCGTCCCCAGTCTGGTGCCCTCCAGGTCTTCTGGATTATACCCCCATCACCCTGATTAGCCATGCTGGCTGGGGCTGATGAGAGCTGTAGTCCAGCACATGCGGTGTGCACACAAGGTGGAGAAGGCTGTACGAAAGAGCGAGCGATACGCTTCATACGAGGACAGCTTTCAAATTAGTGCAGAACAAAGAATGATCATTAATCAGGCTAGCCTCTAATGCCTACATCCATGACAGATAGGGATTTTCTCCTACAGGGAACAATTCGATACATAGAGTCTGGATCTCTCCTATGTCGCGTGCCTCATATTCTTTCCATGGGAGTCCTTTATCAATGTTTGATCAAGTACTGAGTCGAACCTCATAGGATGGGAGCTCTTTGCAGAGAGCTGCAAGTTAAACCACGGGTAATGAGAGGTACAAGCACACATGCAGGCAAGCAGACACACACACACACACACACACACACACACACACAAGTATGAACGGCCATCCCTCTGGATGTGGATGTGAAAAGACCCCTCGGCTAGCAGATGTAGACAAATAACACGCCAGCACAAGGAATGCATAGTGTCAAGGACACTTCCCACTGTCATTTTTGGGCTCTGTCTCAGTGTTAGCTCACTCCTGTCCTCGATATAAACACCATGTAGCTAAAAATAATCAAGAAATGCTGATTATTTTTCAGCACCTAGCAGTATTACCTTTCGTAGGACAATTGCTTTCGTAACTGTGTTTGCTGCTGTGATGCCCCTTGCACTTCCAATGACATTTTTCCCAAATAAGGACTGTGGCGATGGTTACAGCCGTGGCAACTGGGCACAATGGCCACAAGGGGGAAAGAAACCCGCCCCATCCACCAAGCAAAGATAAATATACCCACAAGTATTTCCAGTACTTGAGGCATAGCCTTTTCCCCTCCTAAATTTAAGTTTAATTTAGAGGCATATTTTGCTCCGACATCAGGGGAAAGTCTAAACCCAGTGAGGGCTGCAAAGATTATGCTTTAAACAAGCCATTTTTATTCATCTCGGTTTTATTTATCACTTCTGGCCACTCATCATGTGTTAATGTGTATAAGTGAACATTGGGTTTTCTGTCTTGCAAGCCTCGCTGAGTGCCTCTTTCTTTGGAAGGGGCATTTCTTAAATAAATAATGAATAAAGGTAGGTCATTCTGATACCTGTACTTTAGGTATATCATAAGAAGGCCAGATTCACTGGAGAAGACCTTCATGCTAGGGGAAGTCAAACCCAGAAGAATAGGAGGAAGACCAGCCAGGAGATGGGAGGAGGTGAGCAGGGTGAGATTCTTAATTTAAAACTTTTCTATACTGCCCATCACAGATGTCTCGGGATGGTTTATAACATCTCGGCACAGAGAGTCGTGTGTGAATTGGTGGCACACCTGCTCTCCTTCTTCAGTCTTCCTCAAGCTGGTGATCTCCAGACGTTTGGGACTTGAACTCCCATCAGCATAGCCAATGTTCAGGGATCCTGGGATCTGTAGTCCAAAAATCTGGAGGGTATCAGGTGGGAGAAGACTCTCCTTGTTCACTGATGAAAAGGGGCACTCTGTGTGTGCTCAGGGGTACTTCATTACTTCACATTTCTTACTTTAAAGAAGATAGCTCCTTGTGTGACATTTTTGGTAGAAAGGTGCAGTATGAACCAGATAAAGAAATGAAGAAAGAAGCGGGCAGGGCGAATGTGAGAACTTGTCCTACCAGAGAGTGGCTAGCGGAGGAAGAGCATCAGCAAAAGGCCCCGAGTTCTTGCAGGGGAAGGGAGAATTACGAAGCTCTTTCTGACATGCAAATAACATGTGAACAGTGCCAAGGAGCTGTGCTTTGGAGCCCTGGAGAGCCATATTCTTAATAACATGCCGAACAGCCCTCTATCGCAAAGAGCAAGAACTTCTGAAGTCGGAACAGTCTGTATGTACCTGATGGGATTAATTTCTAATTGTATCCTCCGGAAGCAGATAAAACATTCACTGCAACCCAAGAGGCCTAGCCAAAACTGATTAACTCTGGACACAGCAAAATGTAATTAAAAATACAAGTCCTACTGACTCCATTAAAGATCTCATACTTTCCCTGTACTTCTGCCTATTTTGCCAGTGAGGACAATTTTCATAGGCACATCAAGTTCCCCACCCTTAACCAAAGCCTTCCCTTTTACTGATCGTAATAACTGCAAAGAAGGAAATTGCACTGGTTAGGAAGTCCTCTTCTTAACTTTGCGGTGAGAGAATTTCGCAGGCTGCTTCCGAAAGCATTACGGCAAAGGGGAGTTCTGGACAAAGAGGAGACTCTAACAAGCTTTGATGCAGGTCTTCTGTTAGCTCATGCAGAGGCACATTGATTGATATTATTTCCTAATGTGAGGTATAGATTTCATCACATGAAAACTGATGCTGTGAGTCTTTAAGATGTCAAGCATCCTCTCCAACCTAGACTTGAACCCATGGCACCAAAAGATTTTAGGATGCACTTGGATACACAGACAAAAGACCAGCATGGTTAACTTTCTTGAACAGGCTGTTGTAAGTTAACCCCAAGTAGAGAGTCTGTGCGGGAAGATTCTCCCAGTTTTCTCCAGCACCTGTTCAAGCTTCCAAGAGAGGCAGAAGGAAGAGGGTGGCCGCGTTTTTGAAGCTTTGCAGAACTAACTCATCATGAAGACTACCTCATCCTGCCTACTTTCTCATCACCTTGCTGTTTCTGGATCCGTATAAAGCCAGAATGGGAGAATCTGCCCCATAAGCACTGAAATCTTTTGGCTCTGGCCACACTCTTTTTGGCAGGGCCTGGAAAGCTGCCTTAACTAACTCTGGCCTGTGACTTTCTCTGCCCTCAACCTTAATGTGATCCAATCTCACCTGTGCCTATTTCCTCCTTGCCATTCTAGCAAGAACACAAGAAAGAAAAGTGCGTTCAGAATGGAATAGCCAGAAAAGTCCGCCCTAGTGTGGAAACTTGACTTGCAAGCATCGTCTTTTGCCTTCAAGCCAAAAGCAAAGGGATAGAGTAAGCCCATGGGGGACACAACTTCCTTTACCAGTCGTGGAAAGGGGGGCTTATGGAAAAAATGTATTTCCTATGAAGCCTTTCAGATACAATATTTATTAAGAGCGTATAGGGCAGTCTTTGCTATCACTTTGACTGCACTGAGATGAAAGGCCTGAACATCTTCATTATCATTATTATAATTAGGCACCACCTTTCTTCTTGCAAGGAATCCAAAGCTGCTTCCAAGGTTCTCACTTCTATTTTATCCTTACAACAACCCTGTGAGGTAGGTTCAGTTGAGAGCCTGTAACCAGTCCAAAGTCACATAATGCGTTTCAGGGCTGCTAATGGCCAGACTCCAACGCTGTAACAATGACACTGCCCGGGTTTGCGCATGTACTTTCGATGGCACACATGTGGCATCCTTAGGCACCTGCCACAGGGTTTAACTCCCATGGTACTTTGTTTTTCCCAGAATGCAACTGACATTGTGCCAAACCAGGGCATTGTGGGAAAGCAAAACTGTGGTGGTCACAAAAAGATGGCTCTTGGGGAGAAGGAAGCTTTCCTGGACAGTGCTTTGGTGTTCTCTGCAGAAAAGAGGGAGAAAGAGGCTCCTGCTCTGACCTAAGCGAAGATTCCCATAAACCTTAAAGAGGACAACCCACATAAGAGACCGGCCACCAAAGGCACTTTGCCAAGGGCCTCCCTCGAACTGGAGCCAGCCCGAGGCATGCCAGGAGGGGTCAGGAAGGATCTCACACCTACCTGGGAAGCATCCAACACTCCCTGCCTAGAGCCTCCTCGTGTCATGAAATGCCACCCCATCGTCTTCAGCACCCCGAAGAAAACCTCTGAGCCTCCTCAAAGAGAAGGCTGGGTCCAAGATTATCAAAGTGAAGCACATGCATTTCGGCACCAGGCGTGGAACTCACAGCTGGGCACGGACTGCAGGAGGAAATCTAATGCCAGCAGATGTCCAGAACAGGTGTTCCTCCTTGGTACATATTGCACTCATCTTTGTCAGGGGATGGTGAGCACAGGTTACTGCCGAAACTTCTGCAGTCTTCCACACACTTTTTCTAGGAAAACTTGGCTGGAGGACTCAAAAAACCCATTCGAGCCCATTTGGCTTGAAGTATCTGGAGTCCGTTGTTCTGCATCTGCCACTAGAGGAGGGTAAAGACCTATTGTCTCTTCCAGTGACATAATTTGAGACAGAACAGATTTGAGTATCAGATCGTTTCTTCATTGCTGGCTATTACAAAGACGAGGCACACACGACTTAACTGTATCAGGGAACCTGTTCTTCCTCCAGAATTTCAAAACAATAAATAAATTAGAAGGAGCTCATTATATTTATGTCGAATTGCCTCAGTCTACGTGACCCACGCTCCTTAGAACCAGCTTCTTCTCCGTTCCATTTCCATCGCTGCGCTTGTACTTTTGAACTTAAAAACTCTCAGAACCTGTGCTTTGTGTGCTACAGAAATCCAAGACTTTGCAATTAATATTTAAGGTTACCAAGAAGAAAGCGCGCTATTAGGGTTTATAATTAGGAAGCAGATTGTAAAAAAAATGAATATATGTTCTTGTTGCAGAGGGCTGCTTACTGAAAAATCAAGGTATGTATTTTTAATGAACCACCTGCTGAGTGTGCCTCTGGGGAGGGAATTATGCTTATTGCTGTTTTAAAAGAAACGAGAATAAAATTGAGTAGAACACAGACTTCCAGAATATTAAATATGAAAAGGGGAAAAAAACCTTGATGCACAGTAATGCTGAGGCATTTCATTTCCCCTTGATGTGAGCATATCCCCTCATAATCAAGCTGAAAGCAAAGATGTTTGGGTTAAAATATGATGAATAATTAGGGAATTGTTCCAAGAATCAGCATCTAAATAAAAATTAATTACGGCAAGGCTGAAGTACCCCTCTTCCTTAAATGCATATGCATTGCTCAAAATAAAACTGATCATCCCGCTTCATATTGCTACTAGCATTACGGTTTTGAACCAGGCACATCATAGTATTGTGGAAAATAAACACTGTTCACCTTAGCAAGCAAGGTGCCATGCTGGTCTTTCTAGAGTTTATGCTGAGCAGCTTTTATTTGGAATTCTGGAACATGAAGGAATAGGCAGTGCTGAAGAAAAGCCAGTTTGGACACAGAGGTGGTCTGAAGCCACAGCACTGCTGTTTGGTTTTTACTCACAGAGGTGGTGGCCTCTGAACTGAGAACATATCGGAACAATGGATTATGGTTTATGTTATTGATTAAATCCAGTCTTCCCAATATGGCATGTCCCACTTCTCTTGGACTACAACTCACAATCCACTGTGCTGTAGCAGTTAGAGGGTTGGGCCGGGGCTTGTAAAATCCAGGTTCTTGTTGCCACTCAGCTGGGAAGCTCAGTGGGTGATTCTGGGCCAGTCACTGACTCTTAGCCTCACCTACCTCCTAGGTTTGTTGCGAAGATAAAATGGAGAAGAGGAAAAGGGTTATGTCATGTGGCTTTGGTTTCTTACGGGAAAAAGGTAGGATGGAAATGCAAAAAAAGAAACAAGCCCATTCCACACGGGCTTAGATTTGGCACCTAATTGAACACACGTTAGCACTCGCATGGCCTGTTACTGGACATCTTTAGAAGAGAGGTGATAAACATACAACGCACTCACACACACTCCAACAATAACAGTTTAATTCCTATCCCATTTATTTTCTTCTGATGAGAGCCCTAAATCTGAAAGCCAAGCAGGTCTGGGCCTAGTCAGTGCCTTGGATGAGACCTTCTTGGCAACCCTGTAGACATGGCCTTCAGCTCCGCGGGGGAAGAAAGTGGAATCCCCCAGCCACCAGGCAGCATGTAGGCAGCCACAAGATTTGGGGGATCTCAGCTAGGAGCTTGGAAAATTGCTCCAACCTGATTGGTGAGGATCTGGGCTCAGCCACCCCACCCCCCACCGTTTGCAGCCAGTGTGGACAGAACTGTGTGCGCTGCTTCTCCAAGGCTGCAGGTACAACTTCATGGAAGGGCCTTTGGGGGTGTTCCAGGGGGCAGGAAGGCGGTGAGGCAGGTGCCACTAAGATGCAAGGCATCCTGGCTGCACCTCAGTCTTCTCTCCCACTCCAAAGCACCACACTTAGATGGCCCTCTAAGTGCCTTGACCATGTGCATACTTCTCTGAGTATGGAGGGTTATGGGCATCCCCATGGAAGTGTGCTTTAAATAAAGACATTCATGCTTGGCTGGGAAAAGCCCATGTGTATTGCTGCATGAATTTATTTATAGAAATATGCATTAGAGGCAAGTTTGCATGCCAATTTTGTTGCCAAATACTGTGATACAAGCCCAAGATAACACCTGAGCAGACTGAGAGGCTAATGATTCCCTAGGAAAGTGGAATGTCCTGGCTGGCTATTTCACTTTCTGGAGGGCCTTCTTGACCACAGAGTCAGCACTGGAGGGCCCGGACCCTGCCCCCAAGTTCGCAGAGAGAATCCTGTTGCCATATCTCTTGTCTCACACCGTTTGGGTTGACCATCAGGGAGCCAGGCAATGCCCCTAAGAGAGAGTTGATTTGGGGAGCCCCCAGTTGCTCACCCCCAAAAGACTGGCTTGCTCTGTTTGTTTTCTGTTTCCGACCAATTTATTCTGAAGAAATTCTATTTTGCTCGATACAAATGGAAGGAGACCAATGTTTATGGGACTTTAAAAAGCAGAGACATCACCCTGACAACAAAAGTGCATACAGTCAAGGTTATGGTTTTCCCCGTTGCAATATATGGCTGTGAAAGCTGGACCATAAGGAAGGCTGAGCGCAAAAGGATTGAGGCCTTTGAATTGTAGTGCTGGAGGAGACTCCTGTGAGTCCCTTGGACCGCAAGGCGATCAAAGCGGTCAGTCCTAGAGGAGATCAACCCTGACTGCTCCTCAGAAGGCCAGATCCTGAAGATGAAACTCAAATACTTTGGCCACCTAATGAAAAGGAAGGACTCCCTGGAGAAGAGCCTAATGCTGGGAACAATAGATGGTAAAGGAAGAAGGGGACGGCAGAGGATGAGGTGGCTAGATGGAGTCACTGAAGCAGTCGGCGTGAGCTTAGGTGGACTCCGGGGGATGGTGGAGTACAGGAAGGCCTGGAGGAATGTTCTCCATGGGGTTGCGATGGGTCGGATGTGACTTCACAATTAACAACAACAACAACAATGAAGTTAGCCAGAAGCCTTATGAAACAGGGAAAAGAGATGGCCAAAGAAAACTGTCTCAAGTGAAATTATTTCAGAAAAGAGCACCTAGAACCAAAAGCATTTTGGAAACCTTGCCTGAGCTGGCAGTGATGGACTCCCACAAAATATGCCATTGCTTAAGCCATTGCAACCCGAAGAGCAAAACACACGGTAGGAATGTTATTGAGGTGGCACACCAAGGATAGTAAATACCTCACTGCTGGAGCTTTCAACAAACGATCCGCCAAACATTGCAGACATCCACTCGCAGCTACAGATCAGTAGCGGCTTGTGAGCGTTGATGTTTCCGTCTTCCAGTTTAAATGTCACATCTGCCGTGGGAGCAAAGAAACAGAACCATAGCCTATAATGTCACATATAGCAACAACAATTTACTAGACAGGTCAATGCCCACTCATTCACGGAATTACTGCAAAGAAACTGCTTCATTAAGGACACCCAAAAAGGACACATTTTAAATGAGAAACTGATAGTAATTAAAACCTGGGCTTCCATGGGAGCAGAGACTCCAGCAGTCCTCTGATGTTTGGCCAAAGAGGATGTGTAGTTCACTTACACAAATAAAAGTTGCTTAAATTGGTCCATCTAAACTACCCTTCATGCCATTCACCCCATGGCTTCACGGCTCAGAATGAGAGAAACAGTGCCGTAATTTGAAGACAGAGGTGGAAAGTTGTCCAAAATAGAAATGCTTAACTTTTCTGGAGTAAAATTGCCTTTTTATCATTTCTTTGGTGACCATCATATTAGGCAAGCCTAGAAGTTTCAAAGTTGTAATTACTTCCCCCCACAGGGGATTATTCCAACAAGCACAAAGGAATAAACAGTGACAGTGCAACTGAAGGGCCCGGTAATCTTAGCGAAAGAGAACTGAAATCTGCTGAAATAGGAGAGTGGCTGTCAACTTACCATCTACACTTCTTTGGGTTGCTAAAATTAATTAGTGCAGCCTTCCTCAACTTGTGTCCTCAGTGATTTGGGATTGTACCTATGTGGAATGGGGGATGCTGTGATTTGCATTTGAGAATCCATGGAGGGCACCAGCTAGGTGAAAATGGGTCAACCATTTTCAACAGTTTTGGTATTTCTTCACATTTAAACAAAGCCTTGGACTGCAAGGCGATCAAACCAATCAGTCCTAGAGGAGATCAACCCTGACTGCTCTTTAGAAGACGAGATACTGAATATGAGAGTCAAATACTTTGGCCACTTAATGAGAAGAAAGGACTCCCTGAAGAAGAGCCTAATGTTGGGAACAACTGAAGGCAAAAGAAGAAGGGGACGGCAGAGGATGAGGTGGCTGGATGGAGTCACTGAAGCAGTCGGTGTGAGCTTAAGTGGATTCTGGGGGATGGTGGACAGGAGGGCCTGGAGGAATTTGGTCCATGGGGTCCCAATGGGTCAGACATGACTTCGCTACTAACAACAACAAAGTGGAGTAGATTGGTGTCTTTACAGTAAAAATGTCTAAATAATAACATTTAAATAACATTACATGTTCTTGAATTTGCCCCTTCAAATATTTCAGGTCTAATACCAATGTTGTATTGGGACAAAAAGCTGGACATGCACATGGAAGGTATTTCATGAGCAGAGCTGGCTGAAGCCGGGGGTCAGACTAGATGGCCCAAGAGGCCCCTTCTGACCCACTCTGTTCCTGTATTACTAAACAGAAGTAAAACAAATGTGAGAAATCAGACCACTAGCTCTAGTGGAGGGATGAGCAATGTCTTATCCTACAACTCCCATCAACCCTTGGCCTGGGCTACACTGGCTAGGGCTGAAGAGCTGAAGAGAAGGGCTGAAGAGCTCCTGAGAAGAAGCCTATGCAAATTAGCCTAATTTACATAGGATTTTTTTTTCTGGAAAAAATGCAAACTTTGGAAGATTTTCCAACTCAAAATTGTCCAGAAAAACCACGTGCAGCACATGCTTTGCATGCAGGCAGTTCTAGGTTTGATCTGTAGCATCTCTAGATAGAGCCGGGAAAACACTTTGGTGAGCAGCTGCCAGTCAGTGTTGGTCATACTGAGCTAGATAGACCAAGGGTCTAACTCGGTCTAAGACACCCAGTATAAGACACCTGCCACTGTTCCTAAGTCCTGCCTGTGTTCATTTTAGACACAGGACTAGAGAGTCAAATGTCTTCAACTGGTTCACTGCTTTAAAAAACAGCCTCTGAGCAAAATAGGCTGTCTGCGTCTCGCGTTAATTCTGACAGAAGGTTTCTCACCCTATAAAGCTGAGCTAACCAGACAGCTCTTGAAGGAGGCCTCTTCTCGTTACAGTTCCTGCTGTTTCCCAGAGAAACCTCAGAATGCTAACGGTGGTCGTGGGAAGAACCCTGGCAGGCCGCTCCTGCACTCGCCAAACTACCACCACCGGGATGCCCCAGAGCAGTGATTTCCAGCCAGAGAGACACACCAGAACATTTAGGGGCACACCACAAAACTGAATAATGGCGGGAAGAGGCTCATAGGTCAACCGCGTAAGACAAGATACAAGTCAAAAGTCATGAAACGAATGAATGTAATGACAGGTAGTGGAGTGCGTCTCCTTTGTTATTTAACTTTGAGAAAAGCTCCATTCCCCCACTTGGTTATTTTGGCAGATGGTGGGGAGTTCCTGCCTCAACCATGTGTTGTGAACATGCCACTACAACGCACATGCTCGGTGATGCGCCCCCCATAAGCTCAACTTTCACTTTCCTCCACTTCACGAACAAGGCTTTCTCTTCTTGTACCTTTATAAAAATTAAATATCATAGTAAGCAGAATGGAATTCCAGACTTAAGACTGTACCTTACGTCAGCTGAACCTGATTTCAAAGAACGATGTGCCTCAAAACAAGCTCAAGTACTGCACTGAACATTTGTTGTGTATAAAATATTTGCTGTGTGTGTTATAAATATTATTTCAAAACATATTAAAGTTTTTCAATTATTAAAAATTAGTTACAAAAGTAATGTATTAATTAATGTAGTTCTTATGTCATCCGTGATGTGTTTAGTTGAATTCATTGTATCTTTTGAGTTTTTGAATGTAAATCTGTATGTGCTGTCTATTCACCTTATTATTCCATTGCCTTTTAATTCCATTATTGGGATATTTATTTAGAGTAGCAACATATCAATTTGAAATAACAGCAACTATATTAATTACAAGCATCTTGCTAATATGAAGGGCGTAATTCATGGAAATGGGCTGCCAAGGGGTACACAAGTGAAAAAAGGGTTGGGAACCACTGCATTGTTTAAGAGTATCATGACAAATACGTCCACCATTGTGCTGATGGTGGGTTTGCGGCATCACACGGAATTTGGCCCTAGGTTAAAGTGCAGTTATATCCTCATATAAAGGGCTGCTCTTGCTCCATTTCCTTGTCCGATGGGTCATTAATTTTGCTAATTTGCAGCCATGGAACTGATGCCAAGTCAGGCTGGTCAAAGGCCATCTAGAGCATGCTTTTGTGTGCAGGCGCTGCTACCTGGGTAGTCCACATTCAGTTCTAATGTGACTGTCCATGGGTTCAGACACTCTGTGGTCCTGCAGATGAAGCAGACCTGTGGCCCTGGCCAAATGAAGGAAGTAATGTATGAGCCAGGACCACCTGACTGAAGGGGTGGTCAGATGAGCAGGTATCAATAATATCCATGAGCACAGTGGAATTTTATAAACAGCCCTGCTCACATGAATTCCCACTGGGGAGCAGTCCTGGTTAAAAGGGGGACCAGGTCATTTCTTCCAACCTCCATGAGGTCATGCCCCAGATCGACTCTCTCTGGAGGGCTTCAGCATGTCTGAGCTGGGCTACCAACTTCTACTTAATGAGAAGGAAGGACTCACTGGAGAAGAGCCCCATGCTGGGAACAATTGAGGGGAAAAGAAGAAGGGGATGGCAGAGGATGAGGTGGCTAGATGGAGTCACTGAAGCAGTTGGTGTGAGCTCGGGTGGACTCCGGGGGATGGTGGAGGACAGGAAGGCCTGGAGGAATGTTGTCCATGGGGTCACGATGGGTCGGACGTGTGCAACTAACGGCAACAACAGCAACTGTTATTTGAATCATTTTTTCAGATTAATTCCCAGAGATAATTGGGAGATGTCCAGGCATACTTACCAGAAAATGTCTCTTTAGAGAGACATTCTTTTATCCGATTGGCTTTCCTCACATGGAAAGCCTTCGTAATTTCCTGGTTCATGAAGGCTTCCTTATTTGTGATGTTTTCCACCATCATCCGCAAGTCAAACACTTCCAGTACCTCTGCAATCTGAGCGACCCTGGTGAGATCTTTCTCGTTTTCATCCAGCTGCCCTGTGTAGAGGAACTGCAGAACAGTTTTAAAAGGCCCAGGCTGAATGGAAGCATCTACTCTGACTACTGTGACTGCACACGTCCGCTTCGAGACTGGGTTGACTCGCATTTCTTTATGCATGCTAACAAAGCCTTTGCCCAGAAATGTGGGCACTTGTTTCAGGCAACCGGCTTCCCCTGCTTCATGCTCTCCCCTTGTTAAAGGGTTGCTGCCATCTGCTGATACTGTGGAAGGATGTAAGGTCGCCACCTCCATGATATCATCGCTGTCAAGGCTAAATGTTCGGCTCGTAAGGTTTCCGCTGGCCCTTTCTTTATTATTACACTGAGCTTCCGGTAAATCTGGGGTTTCTTCACATTCCATTAAAAAAAGGTCATAAAACTTGGAAGAGGAGGTAGCGAGGTAGATCTTGTGAGCAAAAATGTGAGCATGGTCCTGAAGGATAAACATGACATCTGCACATAAAGGATTGTCCAGTAAGTATCCGGCTTCATTGATACTGGTGACGGGACACTCCGGGATTTTGATCACTGGAGGAGGAGCCTTTGGAGGTAGAAATGGAGCTTGAAGCAACGGCTTCTGGACTTTCTTCAGGTGTGACTTCCAGAACTGCAGGTGTCTCCTGGAGATCAACGCTGCTCTAATTGCATTGTCAAACACATCTTTGATGCCAAACTGGTCAAACACACTCGTTTCGTAGTATGGTATCCCAAGCTCCTTGGCAACCTCTCTGCCTCTTTCTGGTGGCAAAATGTCTCCCCTTTTGATAGGCCTGTGAATTAAACAAAAAGGCAGCATAAGGGAGCTGGACACAGCCTTTAAGGTTCATGTAATTACGCTCAAGTACCTACCATCCCTGGTATAACACCCGGCCTAAACTCCCTTTCTCTCCTACTCTTCTGTAGAACTGGTAGGGCTTCCTGTATGCAGAGTTAGTTTCTTTCCAACCACATATATTTCCTATCCTGCTTAGCTGGATTTTGAGTCCTTTATTTATGTAACTCTCTTCTTCAGAACGGTTTGAGTATACTCTGGAGATTATTGCAGTGCAATATTATCTCAAGGGTAAGACTGATTTTACTTTTTAGTTTTCAATTTGTAATGATTATTTAAATCCTCTTCACATATACCTGGAAGAACTGCAACGTGATTAAATAAATTGTAAATGGATTAATCATCAGAGTTTTAGTAGATGATTAATTTATCAGTTAAATTTGCACAGAGATACAGTCTAGGTTTGTAATGACAGTTAACCTTTTAATTTGTTTGGCATGTTTCCCCCAAAAAGTTAAGGACAAATTCTACAGTCTTTGTATTCCCACTGGCAGCCATCCCAGCAGGCTGAACCAGGGAGATGTGAGGGGAACCGGGCCCATTCCACAAACTCTGCAGAAAGACTCAATTCCCCCCTTTTCTCCCTATTCCTTTCTGCCTCCGAGTCTTTTTAGATTGCAAGTCTGTGGTCAGAGACTATCTTCTTTGGCTGATTATATCTCAACTGCTCCAGGGACTTACCGACTGAGAAATGAGACAATACTATTTCACACAAATGAATGAGTAAATAAATAGTAATATGCAGCTACAAGGATTGGTATTTTGTGTTTGGCTGGTTTGAAGTCCTTTTCCTTTTCTGAGACTCTTTCTGCAAACAATAAGTGATTGAATAAAACATGCTGTAGCAGCAAAACCATTCCGTATTGCTAAATATTTTATTTCATAATGGCATCTATGATCCTCAGCTAAAGCCAAGATTCCCTTGCCTCCAATGCTCCAAAAGTAGTTTCACTTACTGCATAGTTAATTTTATAGAATTCTCAGAGGAAAGGGGCAATTTCCTTCCTGTCCAGGTTGCAGAATTCTCAGAAGTATCTGGCTAACCGCTGTTCAGAACTGTCTGCTTGAACCACCTCCTAACTGAGTAAAGCACCTCTTATGTTATTTTATTTTCCAAAGGCAGGGATTTTCGGTATCAGTCTGAGGCTAGAAAAGCTTCCCTTTGCTAAACGGAAGTCAAACGTGCTGGAAAATTAGAACTATATCTGGCAACCGTTTATGCAATGGGCATGAAATACTGAGCTGGTTCTGTGATGAGTCAGTGACCAGCTAGCTCTTAATAAACAATTTGCAAATAACACCATAGGTTAAATATTCCAACTATTAAAATACAAAATAACAATAGTCAAATGATATCAAATTGTGTAAAATTACCTGTTACCCTTTCAAATTAAACATGTAAAACATTGCATACAATATCTTTGAGGATCTGGCTGCCAGCTGCAAAAAACCTAGCACAACAAGCTGTTGACTGGCATTGGTGCCTGGAAGGAGGTTCCCAGCAAGCTCAGCATCAGATCTGCCGGCCACCTTCTAAGCAGATGAGAAATAAGCTTGGCCCGTATTTCTTGATAAAACCGACAATAAAAAATAACATGTTCAAATGTGTCAAAAAACACACTTTGTGTTCATCAGTTAAGTGCCAGCACTTCCAGTTAAAGGGTCTCGGGTAGCAAACTAGCTGTGGTCTTGGCAATCCACTACCAGTTGGACTATGGATGGATCAGTAACCAGCCCACGGAAGGTGGCCTCACAGGTGTGAACCTTTAAGGCGGTAGCATGTTGTATCCACCAAAGAAGAACGCACAGATGCGATTTCTCTCGTCTCCAGCTTTACCTTGCCAATGGCCTTCTGGCTCGGTTTACAGCTTCTAGATCAGCGTATCGAAGATCCAGTTGGCAGCCAACCAGAATAACAGGTGTGCGAGGACAAAAGTGTTTGATTTCTTGACACCACATGGTCTTCACATGATTCAGGGAGTTGGGGTTAGCAATGGAAAAGCACAAGACAACGACATCGGACCTGGAATAGACATGAATTTGTTTCAGGTGAAGGTTAGCGCTCAGCCTCTTTGTTCAAAAGGGGGGAGAAAGCTCCAATTCAAGCACAGAACTATACTCACACTGGGCAAGCTGCCTTCTAGAACACTACATACCTCCACAGTTCCGGAGCCCAAAGGACTCTCTTTAGTCCAGAGCTGACAGACTTTCGTACGGAGGAACAGAGTGGTGGCCAATGGAACAGCAGGCACTGCAGCTAGGAACTGGCCGCTGTCTGTTCTCATCACAACATGCCAAACTCTAATTTGCAGAGAAAAGTTTGGTAGCTGTCCAGCCATTCAACATCGGACAGGGAAGTGAAGCCAATCTAATTTCCTTATTCAGTGTACCAGTATGATGAAACACGTGTTGTCCCATTCATACATTACATCCTGAGGTGTAGTCTCAGAAAATGAGAACATCCAGGTGAACGCTGACAAAGCATATGTTTAGCATTCCCAAGCTGGGAAAAGGAATTGGCACAGTATCCAAAGCAGCACTAGCACTAACATCCATCACACTACACTGGTGTAAGCAACCTTGAGAACAGTGTCAATAGCATTTGCTGGTGTAACAGGTTCTCCAGGGAAAACACATGCTGGCAAACTGGAGTGGCAGCGCTCTGCAGGTTGATTCTGCTAGCACAAGATAATTTACATGAGTGCAAAAGATGAACTGGATACGGCCCGTCGTTTCTTTTATTCTGGTCTGACAAAGCACTAAACACTGCAGGCTCTGAATTGCTCAGGGGTTTAAAAATGATTTGGGCTTTCATTAAAACCACCAATATAGTGGAAATAAACATTGGCAAAAATGGACAGAAAGAGTGGCTGGGGGCACGGGGAGGGGGGGGGATGCTCTAAGACACCTGGTTGAGATTCCTGCACACAACAGCTAACAGGAAAACAATAACTGCAAAAAGGACCATCCTGTCTAAAGGAAGGCAGTCTACCATGCCAGTTTAAGTAGAGTTTCCTTCTATCACATTAAGGGCTTGTGTTTCCAGGGAACTCCGAAATATGTTGTAGGTTTCTTTTAAAAATACAGAATATATTGCAGAAATATGCATTTTTCTAAAGCAGGCACTAGAAAGCTGAAATTAAGTCCAGTTCATGATTCTCAGTCAGAGATGCTCGGAAGACCAAGGGCGATAAATGCAAAATCTGCAAAGGAAAAGTGAACGTAACAGTACTAGAAAGGGGGAAATAGATTTGTTGGGCCACAGAAACAGGAAGAACAACAGCCACAGAGCAGTTCATTCTATTAATCTTGAATTTAGTGCTAAATTATTTCATCTTCGTTGGGACAATTAACAACACGAGACCTATGAATCTCAGCATTTCACTATCTCCATCATTGATGATCTACCTGTTCTATAATGCTGCTCTCCTCATTTCACTGATGCTACTGTTCTACCTAGCATGTCCTAGCGCTATCTAAAAATAACCTCAAGTACAAAGTACAAGGCAAAGCAATGCACTGCAGACAATGCTGTGAGTGAAAGACAGGAGCTTTTCCAGCACGGATGCATTATATAAGCTACGGCACACCCCTAAGGGCTAGCGCAGAGGAATTTAATACAAGGTGTTTGTAGCCAACGCATTAATCTGCCTTCTATTTTCTCTAAGTTGCTTCAGAAGCGGACCTTTCCCAAATGCAGCAAGCTCTGTCTAATGTATTCCAGTTAATCCTCTCTAGGCACTTCACTAAACCATCCCAGAGTGTGTAATAACACAGTAATGCGTAAAAGGACACATTGACAATGTGGGAAGAAAGAAGACACATGTGGAGTGCTTACCTAAAGCATAGCTTATGCTAATGTTTGCTATCAGCGCTTGCATTTCAAGCCTGTTATATCTGCCAGGAAAAAGAGAGAGGACTATTGGGCAGTTTAATTCACACCAGTTGCCAAAGCTGCAAGTTCCCACCCATTTGATTCATTTCTGTCACTGGGGCCTTCTGAAATTTAGCTTTCTCCTGCACCCCATAAGAGAGAATCACCAAGCAGTTACAAAGCAGTGGCTATTTATGACTCCAGGATTAAGCATTCATTTCCCATCCCTACCTTACTATTTCCAGAGAGATATCCAGTGCTAAAGCAAGGTCAGGGAGATCCAATATACTCTACCTAAACCCTTTGACTCTCTGGGAGTCCTGCTCAAGGGACAAGCATCCCAACTGGGGAAATCCAAGTCCCTTGGGGCAGAATTCTCATCAGAGTATAAATCTGCCAAGCCAAAACTGCCCAGGAATGATATTTCAAGGTTTGCTACATTCTGTTAAGGTGTGCCAAGGTGCTGATCCTTTGCCCACTCACCTGGAAGGCAACTTCAATGAATTAGTAACATTTCCTTCTGGAAAACGTGCATGGAAGCAGGATCCATGATAGCTGCTGTACTAAATAATTCTAGGCATAACCTTATGATGCGAGGCACAGACTCAGCTGACCACAGGAGCTTAATATTATGCTGCTTGCAGTGTTACCTGACCTGCAGTATTTGTATTTCTGCTAAGGCAAGGTTGCTGTTCTGATGGAGATTAATTACTGCCAACCCAATGCATCTCAAATCCCAATTTTGTATTGACAACCACATCTGTAACTAGCAGCCTCAAACCAAGCAGCGAGGTTGTATCATGCAAACAGATACCAGCTTGCTTATTTTTACCTATTCTGACTGTTGAGCTTGTCATCTTGTTCGAAAGTGGTTTTTCTCCAGAAGCAGCTGGCATACCAAACAAAGTAGGAGTCAGGCCATGTAGGGTGCAGTTCATTGATCACCTACTCTGGGGTAGTCCCATTGCTTCAGCAGAGCTCCTCTGGGGATCTCACCATTAGAGAACATGGATCTCATTGGGCAACCACTAAATCAATGCAACGTTCAATGAGGTATGTCCCCCTTTTCCAAGTGGAGGTTATTGTTAGGATCAAATACTCTGAAAACAGCCCCACGGTTGCAGCTTCCATGACTCAGGGCTACATCACAGGACACGGTGGGCACGTGTGCATCCCACTGGTGTGTTTTGGTGGTACCTGCCCCTATCCACATGGGACAGGATTGGCCACAGTCCCATGCATGTATGGAGGTGTCCATCTCATTTTCACAGCTGAGATGTTTACCGCAACAGGCAACGCCATGAGCTTTGAGTTGAAGTTAAACAGGAATTGCCCCCGTGGTTTTGCCCCTTCATCGCTTGAACTGTTGTGATGCTGAACAGAATGAAGCTACTCCTTTGGTCCACTTAACTAAGCTTCCTTGTATTATGCCTGACAATCAGCCCATCAAGTGTAGGTCCATCTGCTCTTGGCTCCTGAGAGCTCTTGGTTTGTGAGAGAGGGTTGTCCCCACGCCTTCTGCCTAGAGACGCCAGGGTCTGAATTCAGGGCACTGCGCATACAAGGATATGGGAAATTGCCAATGTATGGCCGTTCTCCCCTTCCCACATTGCTTAGCTGAGATCAAAGGCATTGACTATGTCCACCTCCATCCCACAGTCTGAAAATGTTACTCCTTACCAAAGAAGCACAGTTTGGTAGCTCAAGGGGAACTCATCATGGATCCTTAATACAGAATTCAGCACATCCTTGCCAAACTATCACTCCCAGGATTCTTTGAGGAATCCATGATGACTAATATGGTATAAAACTGATAGAGGGTTTTCATAAAACAATGGCAAATAAAGTATCATTATTTTATCAGCATGGATCCAAACAACGCTCCAACTTTCTATCAATCCTCTTATTCTATTCATGCCAGAGAAAATCTGCTTCTACAATCACATTAAGTCAGGCACAACTTCCCCATTATTAAAGGCAATCGGCATTCATGCAACACATTTCATTGTTTGAAAAGACAAAACCAAAAGGCTTGCATAGATAGCTTATAAGCAGGCGACATCTCCACAATATTCAGGTTTTAGTAAAATGTAGCAGCAGCCACTGTATGAGGATGGAGAAGGTCAAAAGTGATGGGTGGGCATAATCAAATGATCTGAAAATGAATGATTATGGCTGCATTTAGACATCTGGATAAACCATGATTTATGGTGACAAGAATGAACCTCAGAAGTTCAGGCTCTAGCATTCCTTCTCTGGCGTAGTAGCCATGAAGCCTTTGGAAGCTTTTCCTTGCATTTTGATTACCCTTTGCTTGTTGTTTCATCTGAACCCAGCAATCTGTGGCTAATCTGAACCTAGGATTTGCCTGAAACAGGCCAACTGCAAACTATGTGCTGTGAAGCTGTTTGTTTCAGCAAACCATAGTCAAAATTAGCTACAGTTTAGGGTTTGGATGCAACAGTAAACTATGGTTGATAATAAATGGAACCACAGGCTTCTGATTTTCTCCTCAAGGGCAAACCAGGTGAGAAAGAGTGCAAGTCTGTGTTCAGTTGTGGCCCACTGGTGCCGCAATAAACCATGGTTTATTGTGATAGCTAAACAAGCCCATGTGTACACACTCATAACAGATGGAACTGTAATGAAAGGGCCAAAAAGATATCCAACAAAGGCATGGCAAGACCATGCACCAGCCTGGATGAGTGCAGGGGAGAAAAAGAGGCATTCAATACTTTACCGAGAACAGTGAAGCTTCTTAAGTACAGGCACTATATGCGAAACTGTCAAAACACCCTGAAATATATATATATTCAGTTTTTTGGAAGTGAAAAGCATGCAAAATATTAGTATTTTTAAATAACTGATATAACTTGGTAGAAACCAGCAGCAGCAACTGCTTGGAAGGAAAAGGTCAATTTTAACTTAACAATGCTCAGTGCTAGCTTCAGAAGAGGAAAGTAATTAAATTCTTTTCTGTCCAAGGACCGCTTCTGAACTTACATTCTCTCCTACACAGAAATGAACTTTGTGAACTGAAAAGGTAAAAAAGAAATGCCACCAAATTAACATTCCCAGAAATCATTGGGAGAGCCATTATGGGAATAATGTCTGATCTCCCCACACCCCCAGTTTTGAATAATACACAA